GTGCAGGCATCTGTCTGCTGAGCGCTGGGATTAAAGGCATGTGCCACCACATCTATCAGAGTGTTGAACATCTTAATGACTGTGGGAGTTTTAGAGCTGTACTAAGTGTTATACTGTTATATTAGCAAGGGATTTGGGGGACAAGGGAAGGTCATATGCTTCTGTGTCAAGCTGACACAGCTTATTGTTGTTATCAGCTTGTTGTCAACTTGACACACTTGGGAAGAGGTAACCTCAACTGAGAAACTGCCTCCATCAGACTGGCCTGTGGGCACGTCAGTGGAGCACTTTCGTAACTGTAAACTGATGCAGGAGGGCCCAGTCCACTGTGAGTTACGTACCACCCTTAGGCAGGTTGGCCCAGGCTGTATAAGGAAAGTGGCTAGGCAAGCCAGTCAGCGGTGCTTCTCCACAGCCTCTGTTTCCGTTTCTGCCCCTGACTCCTTCAGTGGTGGACCATTAACTGGGAGCTGTAGGATGGAACAAGTCCTTTCCTCTCCAGGCTGCGGACGGTCATGGTATCACAGCATCAGAGACCCACTAGAACACTACTGGTGCCATCGAGTCTAAATTCTAAGAGCTAATCATATCCAGGCAGAAGTTCTATTTAGAAAACTGGAATGCATTTACTTAATCAATATGCTTCTATTTTGATTGAACACATCACAGAATAGTATTTTGGTAATCACTCAAACCTGGTGATTAGGTATACAGTCTGGCACAGGGAAGAAAGGTGGAGGATTTCGAATTCTCTCCAAGTATACAATAAAGAATTGCCAATTTTATGGACTTAGAGGGCAGCTCTAATATTGTCAAGCTAATTTATCTACATATGTAATTTGACTGTTATTAAAAATTAGATCTCTACTGTAAAACTTTCCTCTCTGCCTAAGTCATTGCCAACCATAAAACATCAACAACAACAACAAAAAAGGTGGTCCGCATCTTGAAAAAATAACTAAATATATTTGAAAAAAATTTAAAGTGTCCTTGTATTTAAAATTTTTTAAACCCTCATTTTAAAAGCTGCTTTTAAAATGATTTATGTTCAACTATACATGGAGACAGGTTGGAAGGCCACTGGTCAGAGGTGGGCAGGAAGCTCACCCCAGGGAAAGGATGCTCTCACACGAGTGAGTGTATGGTCCTTAGAAAAGAACTGATGGGGACAGGGAGACAGCCTTAAATGCCAGCTGCAGGGTTTTGCCATCTTCCTCTGGCCTTCATGGGCAACTGTACTCACATACACAAACCCACAGACATTCTTGTAATTAGAAAGAAAAATAAATCTTAAAAAAAGAGATGAGCTGACTTTAAATGTAGGTTCCTCCAAAAGTATGAATTTACAAATTAGTGTAATAACAAACCTGTCAGTTTGTATTTCCTTACCCAGCTACAGAATAAACCAATAAGATTACTGAATCAAAATAAATATCATGCCAAGAATCTCATGTCCACCCTTCAAAGAACTGTTGGTTTCAATTTAAAGGGATGACTAAAGTCACTGGTTTGTGGGAAACTGAGACAAACTCGCAGAAGATAAGAAACTCATTTCTCCTAAAAATGAAAACAAAACTCTAGCTTCAATTTGCCATTGGATGACAAAATTCTGATCCATATCACGTCTGCAAAATCTAACTCTTCACAGCATGCGTAATGTAGGAATGCCTTACCGTTACTTTCTGTAGAAAATCTCATTACAAAACACAAGTCCAAATACTGAAAGGTGGTAAAAAGGAGAAAACCTCCAACATAGTTAAGCCTATGTTCACAGAATCAGTGTTAGCATCTGCAAGTAATTCTCCATGTTGTTCTTAACTCCACTTGGTATGGCAACTGAGGTCCACCCAACAGCCTGTCCTTGTGAATCTGGAATGAAAATTAGTGGCCTTACATCCTTCTGAAGGGACTTGGTCACCAAGGAGGGAAGAAGGGCCACTGCCTGCCAAGGTGTCCACACCCACTGCCGACTGGGTCACTGTCTTAACTTCCTTCTCTATGTTCTCTCTAGAGAGAGTATAAAGCAGGGCAAGGTCAGAGCAGTGAGAAAAAAAAAAAGTATCTTTCTGATCCAAGTGCCACCCCCTCCCATCTAAACAGGTATCTCTGTAAGAAATAGTCTTTCTCTGTAAGAAAGACTATTCCATGGTTTTAAGACCATGGTTACTTATTTAAAATTGGGTGGAAACATTCCCAGTGAACCACACAGTATCTGCGGGATAATATTTTTGATTTGTCCTCAATGAGAGACTTCTCTCAACCTGAGAGACTACTAGTAATATTCCTAAAGTTGTCTAGATGTGGAATGAGAGCCCACAATGAACCTGTTACCCGTCAACAGGGGGACCCAGCTGACCAAAAATGACAAAGGAAGCTCAGAGGTAGAAATGGCTTCGTGGGCCCGAGACTTAACCAGACTCAGATTCTTCGGTGACACAAAGACTCTATCCTGAATGATTCAGGAGCCCACCAAGCACTGTCCTCAAGGCCAAGGTGATGCTTGCACCGAGGTCAGATATAGCTGCCAATCTGACCCCCAGCGTCAGCCTCACACAGGGTATCCCTGTTGCCTGATGCGGTCTACAGTTCTGAATCGAGCCTACCAAAGACACTATGTGTGCACAAAAGCCAGCCTGGAACCCCTTACTGTAAGGAGTAAGCTTAACACACCACAGGGCGACAGCTTCACCCACACCCTCTACTGTTTATCTAGTGAGATGAAATGCTGCCTTACAACATCCCACACGGGCACACTTCCTGGATAATCAACAGACCACCACCTGGTTCTGAGGATCAATTGTTCAACTGTACATAAATATTTAATAAACACTGACTGTACTGGTAGAGATTTCTAAAAAAATGGAATAAACCATAAAAGTAAGGACAATTTTAAAAACTGTTGCCCTTCCCGACCCATCAACTGACTTTGTACATAATCATTTAACTGAATCTGCTCAGCTCTGCATCTACCCCTATGTACCCAACAAACTGTACCAAGTGTTTATGCCGCCTTTAGGCTGTAGCTCCAAATGGTGATCCTATGACAGAGAGAACTAACACAGTCTCAGACAACAGATGAACTTCACGTCACCTCCTTGAATGAAACATTCCCTCATGCATTTGTGAGATGAACACATTCTGTTCTGAGCAAGCAGGAAGAGTTGCTAATTACTTCCCAATTGGGGATTTCTGGTTTTCCATTCAAGTGTGTTTTCCTTACTTAAAATTCTCAGTAAAGAAGTTTAGTTGCTTATGCACATTTTTTTATAGTAGCAGTGATCTAAGGTAACTCTTGCAACCAGTGGAAATTAGGGTAGTTACACACACACACACACACACACACACACACACACACACACACACACCTTGAAAATCTCTTACAACTTTAAAAATAGCCAAGTATAACCAACTGGGTCATGTGGTTCTGGCAAGTGTCATTCACTCTTCTTCACCCTTCCTGGGAATTATGAGTTGACTATTACGATTAAAGGCATCATGACAGGGGCATATTGAGAAATTGTAATGTTTTGCTCTTTTTTTAATGGTGATTTAATTTCCTCTTCTCACTTAGTAAGGGCATTCACATTTCATTTTGTTCCAGGGTAAGCCAAGAGACAGTGACAAGAATGATCCTTCATAACTCATCAGGGTTTTCCAACACAGATGCGGTTCATTTATCATCTGCGACTGGCTTGAGAGTTCCGATTCACAGTGGGAGCTCTTAATAGTCCATGGTAGAATCAAATTATCAGAAAAATTGTATTTTCACAAATATCTGAAGCCAAGAGTGTTTCTGGTATTCCAACACACACAAACGACACAGAGGCACAGATTAATGGAGTTGAAAGCAGAACTGATCACGAAGACATTTTGGCCAGTAAATAAAATTAGATTTTGTTTTTCAACAATGGAATTGGTAAATTTCATTGACACAGCTCGATGGAAGGACACTTTAATAATAGTCTCCCTTTTCTCAAATAACATAAAAATCCTCCTACTAACCTCCCCCTAAGCCAAAATAAGAGAGAGAAAGAAAGGAAAGTGGGGGGCTAGGAGGAGAGGGGTGCAGAATACTTTGAAATGTGATACACCAGCTCAGAGTCTCTCATCAGAGTTTTGGTTTTTTTAAGTTGCTTTATCCCTATATCATTAGGAAACATAGAAGCCATAAGAAATGTAATTTCTACTCATCATCTCTGTTTACCACAATGATGAGGAACATCTTCATTTCTGTGACTGCCACCTAAATCCTGAAGTCATTTTATGTTAAATTAAATATGGAAGTCTCTAAAAGCCCTGAGCACCTTCCTGCGGATGTCTGTAGGGCTGAGCCCAGGATGGGGAGTGGGGAGGGGTAAATATATATATTATATATTTACTGTATAATTAGGTGAGCTACAGAGAACCGCACACCGGGCCTAGAGCAGACAGAAGGATAAAATGAAAATGTAGTGAGCAAACTACGAAGCCCCATGCACTGTTATCACCAACGACAACAGCAGCAGTCATTGTATTTTCAATGAACGTTAGTTTGACTCCTATCTGAAAATGCAGCCACTGGGAAGGAAAGCCAGGCATTAGTATGGCATCGGAGGTTTTGCCAAACAGCCCAGGCTAAAGAAGCCCCCGTTCCGACCTGCTGCTCTAACTACTCTATGGATCTGGTCCTAGGCCACTCCCTGTCTCAGCGATTTCTGCTTAGAGAATTTACTGATTCTTATCAATTCACTGATATTAGTCCTTTTCTTTCAAATTTGGAATTTCATATTCCAAAAAAAAAATGATTTCCCCCTTTCCTTAGAACTGAACATACATATAAAACCACTTTAATTTCATTGCAATGGAGCAATTTCAGCTAAAAATGCATGTCACTTATTCAAGATGATTTCTTGAAACTTAAAAAAAAAGTGAAACCAAAACAAGATGTCTATTCAATGGTTCAAACAGCTACAATGACGTTTTTATCAAAACGTGGCCATTTGAACTGAGTCTGGTGTTACCTCGGGAACGCCAAGTTTTCTGCATGCTTCCAAGAAGTTTTCCACATTCCTCCTGCACTTGGCCATGCTGAGTTTGGGCTAGAAATGTAAACATACAGAAACAACATAGTATTAAGATTAAAAAGTTATCCAGAAACATCCATCTAGAGACAAAAAACTTAATATTGTAGGTCATATTCTTGAACTGTGTGTGCATATGCATACACAGGCCTTTATATGTGCTTGGTAGAGAGATGTTTAGAGAGACACAAGTCTGTAATGCTGATATGCTGACATATATGTATGCCAGGTTTTCTGCTCACACCTCTAAGTATCTGTGTATATTCACACAAAAACACATACCATACAGTTGGATAACCCATTTTAGTTCACCTAAAAATATACCACAAACATCACCTTTCTCCAACCACAAATGTATTTCCATACAAACGGTTAAAATCCATCAGGCTAATTGTCCCCTTACCCCCTCCCCCAAAACCACTTTGATGACCTGGAAAGTGTGGATGGATAACAGGTTCATTTGATTCATACAGGAAAATTTTTAGATGGTAAGTTTTAAACATGTCTTACCATTTCTTTAAAAAAATATTCCACTATTAATCTCCTTAAAAAGGAAAGCAAGAAGTGTGGCTGAAACAAATGAGCGGGGAGGCTAAACTAATACTGTCCCCCAAGGCAGAAGAGGAAGTCCTGTCACAGGGTCACAGAAAGACACAGGACAGCTGTGCCCAGCCACACACAGACAGGAGGATCAGAGAGAACACTAGGAATAGAGAAGAATAGGTTCCAGAGGAAGTGAGGCACCAGAAGCCTGGCATCCTGTGGTCCTAGGGCTCCACTGTCCGCCAGCATGTACTCATATTTCAGGTACAATGCTGTGACAGTGGTTCAGCCTCACCATTAACCAATCAAAACTCACATAAACTATACCAACGGGGGTGCCGATGTTTTGCTTACACCTGGGAAAACTGAAGAAAAACTAGCTTTTCTCCTCCTAAGGAAAACTTTCAGTATGTTGAGAATGACAAGGACTATGCAAATGACCTTTCCTGAGGTTGGCATTAAAACCCACACACCACAGGGCTCACGAAATCAAAGACCAGAACATGTAATGCTTGCAGTAGTACGGTCGGGACAGGCACCCTCGGCATCGCCGATGGTGCAGACACAACCGTATCAGCTGTCTACTCTACACGTGCTACCTTTGGTGCTGAGGGCACAACAGGGGAACAAGAAGACACAAACCTTGGGCCACATAGCTCTGGTGTAGCTGGAAACAATAAGCCAAGAGGGTGTAGAGTGACATGGGGGTAGTTCTTACTGGTGATGGGGGGCTTGCAATGAGGGAAAATAGAAAGAAACTAAATTCTCATTGTGTAGAGCAGGAACTGCGGTGGGCAGGGTGGTGGGCACCCACAGGTCCAGGTTTTATGGCTACAGCAGGGCTGGGTCCATCAGAAACTGCGTGAAGTGCTGGCAAGATGGCTTAGTAAATAAAGGCACCTGCTGCCAAGCCTAATGACCTGAGTTCGATTCCAGGACCCACACAGTAGAAGAGAACCAATTTCTATAAGTTATCCTGTGATCTCTACACACCCACTGTGGCAAGTGCATGCCTACACACACACACACACACACACACACACACACAAAACCTTTAAAAACAAAAATACTTCAAGCAGATCACAGGAGAATTTCTATTAGTAGGCATTTAGAAGCGAGCTGTAACAGACAGACTCCTGTAACCTAACAGCAAAAAGGATGCTTAGGAAGATCTGTTGACTGACAAGTTAGGCTCTCATAGATTTTAAATGCCACTACATAGTATATATAAGATCATAATTAAAAGCACAAATGTATGGAGTCTGTTAATGGTAAACACAGAAGGACACTGTTTCTGCTATTTTCTCCTGTCAAGCACTTTTTCCTATTAAAAAAATTATTAAAATGAAAAGATCTCTTTCAAAGTATAGTGTTTTTCCTGAAACATAAATGAAAGTGTAAGAGTTCACAATTCTTAATGTCTCCTGATACCTTGCAAGGTGACAGTGCACACGCCATTTGGAAGCCAGAGAACCCAGTATGTCTCACATGAACCGGGGTGGGGGGGGGGGCGGGGGGGGGCCCTCACGGTGTGGCATACAGCTCACGCGATGTCATGGAGAACTGGCTTAGTGGCCAAGGGAGGACCCAAGTTCAGTTCCTAGCACCCACATAAGACCTGCAACTCCAGCTCCAGGGGATCCAATGCCCTCTTCTGGCCTCCTCAGGCACCTGTGCTTATGTGCACATACCTACACACAGAACTAAAAAAATACATATGACTCTTAATAACAGTAACAGGAAGAGACTGGAGACCTCTGAGCTGCATGGAATGATAGAATTCACTAGAGACAGACTTCAGGGAGAAGTTATACTGCTACCCCTCCAATGTCTCTGAGGCAAAATAAATAAATAAATAAATAAAAGTGGCCATACTTTTGAAAGAAAAAAAGCAGTCAATATTATAGAAAAGGAAATGATGGTTGAAATGAGGTCACTAGCTCATCTTTCTGTGGCCAGGAGAAAACAGAGGAGAATAAAAAGGCCCTAGTGAGAGCTCCCCTGAAGGAGGTGGGCAGGGGTCTCACACACGTGGTCACCTGACACACTGATTACACAGTCAAAATTGTACCTTGAGATTAGTGGTTCTGCTATATATAAACACACATAGTAGCAAGGGACTCATTTACGTGGCTTGTCTCTCTGGTACCTCATTTTATCTTCTCGAGAGCAGGTCTATTTCAGAGAAGGGTGTATATCAAGCTAATGACAGGATGCAACTTGCCCAAAGCTTTTAGACGTAGATCTGGAATCTTAATCCAACCTTGCACCTGAGCCCCTAAGCGCCTCAACTTTCCCTAATGCACCCACTCTGTTGACATACACTCTCTCTGTTCTTATTCGTATAACCCTCCGTGGGCTCCAAAGATAAGCCTATCTATGACCCCTCCGCTCCTGCAGGCGGGATCACAAACGGCCCCTGTAGCTTTCTATCACCTGACTCCGGCTCTGTGACATCTAGGACAAGGGTCAGGGCTAGGACATAGCTCACTAGGAAAGCACCTGCTAGACAGGCAGACGCCCTGGGTCTGAGGAAGGGAGGAGAAAAACCGGCTGAGTTATGCCTGGATTGGTCGGTTATTCAGGGTGCTTTCTCTATTTATATACCTTCACAAGCTACTGCAAAATTCCCAATGATGGAATAAAGAGAAGAGATCCCCATCAGTAACGACCACACCAGGGAGGTTGAGGCAGGAGGGCTCAGCTTGGGCTATCTAGGGAATGAATATCTAGTGAAGGCCTACTGAGAAAAAAGCGCGAGAGAGTCCACTTAGAAAAAGCCTTCGACTAGACAGCCTTCTGAAGAGACATCTTGCTGTTCAAAGACCCCTTTGTGAGGGCCAAATCTCTGTGCTTTATGCCTTTAAACCAGTGTATCGATTCATAACTTCTTTAAACTCCACACCGTTTTTTTTTAACAGCCTTTCTTTACGAGAAGTGCTGCTTCCTCAGGCTCCCTTTGCTCTGTTCTTCTAGTTGTAGGGGGCCCAATAGAAGGGATCCGGGCAGACTCCGGGAGACCTCACCCACATCTTTAACCAACAACTCTGTGCAAAGAGAGCTTGTCCTATGCCAGTTTTCCTCTACCTGGCATTACTTACAACCGCAGGTGAGGGGACATGGATGCTGGCGACAGACCGCGGGCGGATGTGGTTGGCCAGGTGGCAGAGCACGACACCGTCCATGAGTGCTGCCCCTAGGTCTTCGTGCAGGGTCACTTTCAACCTCATTTCGATGCTCTGGGGGTGGGAAGCAGAAGGAGCCAGTTGCTATGGGCACTGAAGCAAGTTAAGTACTAAACACAGCTGTATTTATGAACTGAAGCACTATTCTTAATGGGGGGGACGAGGCTAAGAGTGTCTAGAGATGGGGAGGTGGCTCTGTCATCGAAGGGTTGTCAAGGACCCAAGCTTGATACCAGAACCCCTAAGAGTGTGGTATGATAGTGTATGCCTGTAATTCTGGCAGTGGGGAAGTGAAGTCAGGGGAGTCACCAAGGCTTGTTAGCCAGTCAGCCTAGTAAGCAAGGTTCAGGCCTGTGTGAGAGAGACCCTGACACACACACAAAAAAAATGTAGATGGCATCTGAGGAGTCATCTCCTAGCCTCCACATATATGTACACACACACACACACACACACACACACACACACACACACACACATACACACACCAGACAGAGAGAATGTTTGAAAAACGCTCACTAAATATTTTCAAACATCTTTTTTAAAACCCTATATATATAAAATATATATATATTTATTTTATATATATAGAAATCTATCTATCTATATATTTATATAAAAAAATCTATATAAAGACAGATTCAGTTGTACTGAAATGTTTTAATTAAAAGCTGCAGAAATAATAAAATCCTTTTTTAGTTTCTGAGATAGAGGCACTACTGTAGTCCAGGCTAGCTCAAACTCTCCATGTAGCTGAGGATGACCTCGAGCTCCTGGTCCTCCTGCCTCCACCTCCTCAGTACTGGGATTACACACCCATGTAACCAAAACTGGAATCATTTAAGTTCAATATTTTCCTAGCTTTGGTTATGAGAATACAAAAACAGAATGAATGGACTGATAAAAACCAAATCTGGCTAGCTCGCTAGAGTTGACATGGAGTAGGAGGGGGATGAAGTGAAGCGTTTTAGTTGAGAAATCAATTAATGATCCTTATTCTAAATATTAGACTTGAAGGACTAAAGAAATGGTTCAGCAGTTAAGAGTATATACTGCTCTTCCAGAAGACCTGAGCTTAGTTCCCACTACCCACATCAGGCTGCTCACAGCTGCCTATAACTCCAACTCTAGAGGATCTGACACCCTCTTCTGGTCTCTGCAGGTACTGCACTCATATGCATACCCATACTCAGACATATATAGAAACACATAATTTAAAATAAATAAAATTAAACTTGAATTTTGAAACAAGTCAGGAGAATTAGGAAGCAAGACAGATTTCATACACTATCTGCCAAATTTTCCCAATGACAACAACAACTTGCAAAACAACTATTATTGTGTGTCAAGAAATACAAGGCTCTTTCACAAGGATGCCTGGGGGACTGATGTTTCTTCTTGAACTCTTTGTACATATCACTCCTTCACAGGCTCCCATGCTCTATCCATCTGTTTTCAGCTTGCTTTCTCTCTGGGTCTTAAAGTCATGTCTATCATCCTGTCATTCCGGCTCATTCCACCATCTTTCCACTCTGCTGTGGCTCTTCTCCATCAGGTTTCATTACTGTGGATAATATATTTTTCAGTTCCAAACATCCACTCAGTCCTCCTTTGCTGAGGTTTTCTGGTTCCTTGGTGTACCACTGTATGGCTTCTTCTCTATTACTCACCAAGGTCTCTCTACTGTGGCTGCTTGGAAATCCATCACACACTTATAGGCATTCTTTTAACCCCTGCAGTGCTGGAGATCCACTTGGCCTCAGAAAGGGGGCAGGATAGTAGTGGTCTTCCTCTGGCTAGGTCCAAGAGGAAGGATCCAGGCTCCCCACAGGTAATAGAGACAGGCTCTTTACTAGAGAGGGTGAATTTCTGGCTTCCACCTTGGTTTCTCTGACACCACTCCCAGGGACGGCCTCTGACTCAGTCTTTGCTAACAGGGCACACGTGGGACTAGCTCCTTTTCTCTGGTATCCAGCTGGAGGAGAACACCAGCTGTCTGAAAGTTCTCTGTCTTGCTCGACCACTCACTCCCTAGTTGTCCGGGTAGAGGACGCAAGCCTTCGCTATGTGAGCATTAGTGTCTCTGGCTCCAGAGAAACATGAGGTAAGAAGAAAACCCATGGAGCTCATGACCATAACAGTCTTCAAGTTCCAAGGACATCACCAATTTACCTTCTTCACCTGACCCTTCAGGGTACTTAGCATGTGCAGGTGTGCTTATGGGGAGGCCTGGGAAGGGTGTGACTAGTCTGTTCTCTAGCAGGAAGTACTGAGATCAACTTTAAACCCCGAGCTAAAGCTGCTGCTGAAGCAGAAGCTCTTCTGAACTGAGCAATAGCTATGAAGGGACAGCTAACTGAGTGATTTGCAATGGTGATTTGCAATGAGTGAAAACTGCAAAGAGCTCACGAAGCTGGACATTCAGAACAGATCTGTGTGGAGACATCGCGTGCGTGCGTGCGTGCGTGCGTGCGTGCGTGCGTGTGTGTGTGTGTGTGTGTGGCACGTGTGTGCAGATTGTATGTGTGCGTATGGTGTGAGTATAGGCACCGTGTGTGAGTGTGTGTGTGTGTGTGTGTGTGTGTGTCTGTGTTGTGTATGGGTATGTGTGGGTGTGCACGCACATGTGCATAAGAAGACCAGAAGTCAGCTTCAGGGGTCTACCTCCCTCTCTGCCTTATTTTTGAAGATAGGAATACTTACTTTTACCTGGATCTCACCATTTAACCTAGGATCCACTTGTCCCTGCCTTCCCAAAGCTGGTGTAGGATTGTTTAAATGAGAATGAACCCTATAGGTCACATGTCGGAATACTTGGTCCCCAGTTGGTGGAACTGTTTGGAAAGGTTTGAGGAGGTGTGGCCTGCTGGAGGAGCTGTGTCACTGGAGGAGGACTTGGACGCTTAGAGAGCCCAGGCCATTCCCAGTTTGCTCCCTCTGCTTTGTGCCTGTGGATCAAGATGGGAGCTCTCAGCTACTGCTCCAGTGCCATGCCTGCCCGCCCCCATGCTCCCTGCCACGATGGGCATGGATTCTATCCCTCTGGAATTGTAAGTCCCCAAATTAAACATTTTCTTTTATAAGTTGCCTTGGTCATGGTATTTAATCACAGCATTAGCAAAGTTGGACACTGGGATTACAAGCACTCACCACCACATCCAGTTTTGACGTGGGTTCTCAGGGTTGTACATATGACCTCACGCCTGTATAGCTGACATTTTTTTACCAACTAAACCATCTCCCTAGTTCCCAGACACCTAGTTTTGTAAGGTAATCTTTGTCTCTAATTCTCATTATTAAATTATTCAAGTTTAAGGTTAAAACATGGACTATTATTTTTCCAATCGTCCTCTCACACATCCTGAAGTCTGCCTTCCAAGTTCATGTTCGTATATGCCAGGCGGCCAATAAGTCTAACTTCCCTGTGCTTGTTGAGCCAGTCAGTATGACGTAAAGTGTTGGTGGGAGGTCTCCAACAGTTTGTTCCTCCTAACAGCCCACTACACCATTGATAAAGCATCATCTGCAGTAATAAAGATGGCGGCTGACCGCTTACTTTCATTTTTATTGAGAACGTTTGTTGCTCCTTTGCTAAATTCACTGTTTTCTGAAATTGTGTATTTCTGTTTCCTTCTTTTGACTATCTCTTCTCAACAGACTATATAAGCATCATATCCATCACCTAAATGCTGACTGGCATGGAGTGGTGGTGGTTGTGATGGCAAATCTTGGTCATCAACTTGTCTGCATCTAGACTCAACCAAAACACAAGCTCTTGAGCCCGGCTGTGAGGGGTTTTCTTGGTAAGATTATCTGAAGCAGGAGGACCCACCTATATAGGGGTGACATGTTCTGGTGGCAGCTGGGATAAACAAATGTGAAAGAAGGAAGCTTTGCTTTTAGAGTCCAGCATATACTGAAGACCTGTAGCACCCAAGAGTCCTCTAGGCTTTCAGTTCCAGATTCAGTCCACTGAGATATCCAGCCTCAAGGACTGATCAATTACTGGATTCTCGGCCTCTCCAGTATCAGACAATGATTACTGTGATTACTTACAAGTCAATTTAATAAATCCCCTAAATATATATATATAAGAGATTATTTAAATTACATATAATTAAAATAAAATACATATACATACATATATACATATATATGCACATATATTTACATACATATATATGTGTATGCATGTATATATATTCATTTATTCTACCAGTTCTTTCCCTTTAGAAGGCCCTGATTAATACAGTGGCCAAAAAAAAAATTGTTAGAGGAAAGAGAGGCTTCAACATAAAATCTGTGGCCCCTCAGGAGCTTTCTTACCCTCTGTGGCCCTAACCATGACACTTCTCTTTGAATGTGAGTTACTTACAAGCTGCCTTTTGCAGCTGACACCAGCCTCTTCTTGGCAATGGAAGTGTTAGTTTCTTATACAATTGTGTCATTTTCCTACATAGACACAAAGACCTTCAGAGTGCCCATGAGGTTCCACAACAGTGCAGTGAACACACACACACACACACACACACACACACACACACACACACACACACAGAGCCCCAATCTCCACCTTTACTGTGCTGAAAGTCTTGGATGGCATCCAGGCCAGACTGCACCTTCCATAGGAATTCAAATGGTTTGCTTATTACAAGGTGGATTTAAAAGCTCTGACAGGTTTGTAATACAAAGTTCAGAATACTATATAAATATCTTTAAACTAATGACATACTTCTATGAAGCAAATGAATGACACGCACTCTTTTATAGTATAGCAGAACCCAGTGATGAGTCTTCATTAGCAGAAACTGAAAGTCAGAGTTAAGTGACTGACTCACTAACAAAGAGTCTGTCGGGGACTGATCTAGCTGGATCCGAAACAGGGAGGTCTGTGTGCAACACTTCAGGAAGGCTTTCTCCACACACACAGTGCTGTGTCGATTCTGAGCATCACACTCTGCCCCCCGCCACCCCCAGTACCTCTCGGAGCTGCTCCACCAGCTCCTTCTCTTCTCTCAACTGCTCCATTTTCCTCCGAATCGTAAACTGCGGGTCTATAGACTCCAAATTTCTCTGAGGTCTTAGAAACACTGTAATAGAAATGGAGGGGGGGAAAAATCAATCCGTGTAGCTACACAGGGCTAGTCCTAGTTCAGTTAAATAATTTATATATCCCAAATTATTTCTCTTTCATAGAAGCAAGGAGAGCCCAGGTTCATAGCACAAGTTTGATGTGAATACTCAAAGGGAAATTATCTCTTGAGTTAGTCTAGGTTGTGTGCACTGCCAAGCTGTTTTTGTGGTGACTGAATGAACTGGACGGACTGAATTGAGGGGCGGGTCTCAGAGGGGTGGAGATGAGAACATGCCATCACCCAATTCTCTCTCGTCTCCACTGTTTCTTCTGTTCTAATCAGTATTCTAACTGTACGCTTTATCTTTCTTTCAATCTAAGTAATTAGATCAAATAAGAAGATACTAGAATTGTTTTACATGTTAAAAATAGGCGTAGGAAACTGTTCTTGTTGGCTTCACATTTAATAAGCCTCTATCCAAAACTAAGTGATAACACGTGGGACTATATATTTGAGAATGGAATGGAAAAAATCTGCTTTCGGCCCCATCACCCAGGTGTTCAAAGAGCCAGCTCTTTACAGATGAGCTCAGATTACTGTCAGAAAGGCTGGCTGGACTACAGGTGGCTTTATCACTGCTGGCTCTGAGGCCTTAGGCTTCCTACCAGAGCAGTGGCTGAAAACATGCCTCCTCTGGAGTAGTTCAGAAAACACATACTCTTGGGGCTAGAAAGTCAGCTCAGCTGTCTGCTCTTCCAGAAGACCCAAGTTTAATTCCAGCACTCACATGGTGGCTCACAATTATCTCTAACTCCAATTCCAGAGGATCTGAAGCCCTCTACTGGCCTCTGAGGGCACCTCGGGTATACATGGTAAAAAGACATACATGTATGGCAAAACATCCATATGTATAAAATAAAAATAAATAAATCTTTTAAGTTAAAAAAAAAGAAAATATACACTCTCCTGGGCTGAATGTATAGCTCAGTAGTGGAGTATTTGTCCAGTACATATTAAGTCCTGGGTTCAGCCCCCAACACTGTGTAGAACAGAACAGAACAGAACAGAACAAATGGATGATGGCGGGGAAAAAAAACCTCACAAAAATCATATGCACTAAACATCTAGGTGATAACAACAGTTGGGATACTTAAAATACTTTCTCCATATGGTTTTCTACTATCTTTGCACCTGTGGAGGAATGCTCAGAACAGGACTTCTAAAAACCAAGTATATTAGAAAGGCTGTGTTTGCAAGGCCATTTTTGCTGGCTATAAGGAGGTCTCAGTAACCAATGAGAGCACAGCTCTTCTTGAAATTGAAGATGTGTATGCCAGAGATGAAACTGAATTCTCCTTAGGCAAGAGAGGTACTCCTGGAGGCAAACTCAACAAAACCAGAATAATCTGGGGAAAGATAACTCCGGCCCATGGGAAAAGTGATGTGATTCGTGCCAAATTCCAAAGCAACCTATTTGCTAAGACCACTGGATATGAGATCTGTGTGATGCTGCACTACTCACAGATATATGCTAATGAAAAGTAAGTAAGTAAAAGTGGATTTGCAGCCTTCTAAAACTATTCTACCTGTAAAGAATGATTTTAGTAGCCGGGCATGGTGGTACATGCCTTTTACCCCAGCACTTGGAAGGCAGAGGCAGATGAGTTAATGACCAGCTTGGTCCACATAGTGAGTCATATGCCAGCCGGGAGGCCCTGTCTCAGGGGGGAGGAGGGGAGTGCTGACTGTAAGTTTTTCTTGCTAGAGATTTTTTAGCCTCGAGACACAACGCTGCTGCTGCTGCTTCTGCTGCTGGAAGTGGAGTGGTCTGGTTCTCTCTGTGTGGATTTTTAAGATCTGACTGGGAGCAGGAGCGGTGCTGAGTCATTCAGGACAGTTTGTTCAGAGAATTCCCATGTCAGAAATCGCCACCACCTAGTAAGTGGCGGGAAAACCACAACTGCAATAGTTCCGGCCACTGTCATTTAAAGAGCGCTGAATACAAGGAGTCTACAACGTTCCTTCTGCCATTTCCTACAAGGTCACTTCAGGAACGACCTCGGTCTATCACACTTTAACAATTAAATATGGCTTGCAAATATAACACTTAGAGAAAATAAAACTGTGTTCTTCATGTACTTAAATATCGAGTGCTGTGAGACTGTATCCATCTTCATTCTCTAGTTTTCTTTCTATAAGAGTTCGAAAATATAGCACTTAGAGAGAAAAAAATGTGTGTACTTCATGTACTTAAATATCGAGTGCTGTGAGACTGTATCCATCTTAATCCTCTAGTTTCCTTTCTACACGAGTTCAAAGACGCCAGAACCAGCACTGAGAAGCTTGGGAAGATGAGAAGTGTGACAGACACAATCTTTGCCAAGGCTGACCTAAGGGCGCACAAGGCTTTCCGGAACTGCAGAAAGGAGTCTGTACCCTGGACTTAAGATGGAAGCGAAGCAAGATGTCACTGGTTAAAAAAAAAGTGCATCACAGGAGTCTCTGGAGTAAGACCGGTTCAAAGAAAGAAGAAAGAAGGAAAGACAAGGCTAGCAAAAGGAGGCTAATGTGAGCCAGCTGCTGGGCAGAAGAGTTGAAAAAAAAAAAGGCGAGGGCAAGCTGACCAATAAGAAGCAACGGGGGGTACAGCACTGGGAAGGGAAATACAGGGTAAAACCAACAGCAGCCTCATCTCCCAATGATGTTAACCAAATTTACCAAAAAAGTCAAGGAATGTGGACAGAGCTTGGTAATGCACCCACATGTCACCAAGGGGCGCCTCGACCCCACTCCAATACGTCTACTGTTTGCTTTGGAGGTCATTTCCCTCTTACATTTGTTCCTGGAGAAATCTTATCTAATATGACCTGCCTGATATTTTCAATATGTTTTTATTGGACGATTCCATTCTGAATCTGAAAATATGAGGAAGTTGAATGAACCGTGAACTGTGGCTTAACTGCACACAATCCTAGCGTCTGTGTTAGCAGAGTCCCACGAGGGATATCAGGGGAATGCAATGAAGTCTGGGTTTTAATTTCCTGTCATGCCTGTTTATTTTAAATTCCCTGTGCCTCTGAAAAACAAAACCCACACACTGAGGTGTTTGTTCTGTGAACAGCAAGCAATCAAAAAAAAAAAAAGTATTTCAACTGTAATTTACCGTTTTAAACAAATATTGCAAATGTACATACAATTATTGGAAATGAGTTTATGTAGTATATACACTAAAATTATATAATTAGTTATAACTACTGTGGACTATTTAAGAATTTTAAAGAAACCCTTTCAGCTAATAAACCTGCCAGCTTATTTCTTTCTGAAGCCAGTCTTCAGGAAACTGACCCATGGAAGAATTATCCTGACTTGTCTAAATTCCCTATCACAGCATTTCAAGAGCTCCCTACTCAATTCAGGGGACTGAAAGTTTAACTTGAAGATATATAACAATACTCAAATTGTTAGCATCTGCTTTTCAATGCCATCCTGCTTAACTATAAGAGAAAGTGAGGTCTGTAAGCGAGTGTGCACACACACACACACACACACACACACACACACACACACACATACACACTTGTGCTCAGGAAGAGGGGGGCAGATGATTGATATACAGAGAAAAACGAGCTCTTTGTTGTTTAATTATCAGGGAGCAAATCGTTAACAATTACAACAGGCCGTAAGACTTGCTGGGTATATTCCACATAACAGGATCAAACTTCTAAACACAGGCCTGTAGAGGATAGTGATATCTGTATATGGAGGATTCTACTGATCTTCCCATCCTTTCTATGTTTCAGTCTACAGCCTCTGCACCTTTACCCCATAATCTCTACTTCCCATGAACATCAAAGGTGTTTATCTGTACATCTCCTGGCACTCATCACTCTGTATTGCTGCATAATATGCATGACTCTGCAAGAGCCCAATGGCATGCTCTGCTGTATCCCACAAAGGAGTGTGCCGAGACAGGTCTGTTGATGAATAAAGGAAACAAGTATTTGGGAAGGATAGATGCATCTGAAGATTATCTTTGCAGAAACTATACTGTCCTGATGACTAGTATCTCGATTTCTCCTCTCACAGAAAAATCCCAAATTACTTTCCAGGTCTGAACACATTAACCTCTAAAACAAAATTTCCACAGCAGCAGAGACTGTGTCCATCTTTTTCTGAGCTGCATGTGTGTTAGAGGCGTGCTTAGCACAGGGAGGCACTTAACAGGTGCACAGAACAAAATCCTTTCTCCAGTTGTTACCTTTCAGTTAAGGAAAGGATGCTCACAGTTCTAAAGCAGGCTTTGGCTTTACCACTTCATTAATAATTAAAAAATCATGCATTTTGCACAAAATTATTAGTTTACCTAAACTAAACAGAATTAAAAGAAATGTATTCTCTGTGAAAGCATGGGGCTTTGATATTTAGTCTCCTCTTTCTTGGAAGTTAAGAATGTGAACTAACGTACCTTTTAATATGTTTAAATTCAAGGGCAGACATACAATGACTTGAACACTTATGAACTTTAGATTCAGGTGGGTTCTTGGGAGCCAGAAATAAGCCAAACAAATTCATTCATTTCCTCCTGGTGCACTCCAAGTAAATTAGGTGGATTTACTGCCCTTCAAATGCTGAAATTTCCTCTCTGTTATCTTGGGCAGTTTACTTAACTCAGATATTGTCAATCTAATGTCTACCATGTAAAAACATAAAAAGGTAAACAAACAAGCAAATGCTTTGACTCAACACCAATGCTCACCTAACGTCTCTGAACCAAAGGACCAGGCATTCTAACTTGAAGCCAGAGTTGAAAGCCACTGAACAACCTCCCACACCCTCAATTTCCCTATTTTTGTAATGGGGAGACTAAGACCTTAGTGGTATACTGTCATCAAAAAAGAAACAGCCGGGCGGTGGTGGCGCACGCCTTTAATCCCAGCACTCGGGAGGCAGAGCCAGGCGGATCTCTGTGAGTTCGAGGCCAGCCTGGACTACCAAGTGAGTTCCAGGAAAGGCGCAAAGCTACACAGAGAAACCCTGTCTCGAAAAACCAAAAAAAAAAAAAAAAAAAAAAGAAACAAAGTTGTCTGTAAACTGGCTGGAGATGGATGCCCATTCACTTACTCTTATAGGAAGATCAATTTTAAATAAGTCCAAATTAGTACTTATGAATTCACCACAAGTGAAAAGGCAGAAATACCTCAAAAGAGGCCAGGATGGGTTTTTGACTTCCAAGTAAATGGGTAAAGGGAAGACTAAGCCACAAAAGAAGAGCTAGGTCAGGAGAAGTGGGTGAGTTCTCAATAATGAGCAGAGGGAAGGAGAGTCACCCCAGCCTGTGGCAGAGGCAGGCAGAGTCACAGATGGACTTCCATGCCATCTGTCCCTGTCGGGGACTGACTTTAGAAACTGTGAGTCTCCAAATGCCCAAGGTTGGTCAAGCCTGTTTGCCATTAAAAGAAAAAAAAAAAACTCTTTGAAGAATATGTTACAAAGAAAATGATGAATTTAAAATGAGCTCAGTTTGGAACAGAATGTTGGAAGGTGTTTAAATGAAAGAAGTCTTTGTGTGCAAAATGAGGCAATAAAGAAAGACTATTCCAAGTTTGTGAAGCTAATACTCAAAGTTTCGTTATGGTGGTCTACGCTATCATTTACAAGGCTGGGCAGCCACAGGTGTCAGAGAATGAAGACGCTGAGGACACAACTAATGTGCACATCAGCATTTCTGGACACGCCAAGAATGCCTAGAGCGCAAGGGTCTGGCTCTACGGAAGCACCGAGAACAACATGGAAAGCATGTATGCCATGATCCTCAGCTCTTCTCCTGCATGGCCTCTGCTACCGAGACAGAAAACATGCTGCAGCCACAAGGCCAAGTCTAACACACAGGGGATGAAGATGTGTGTCACACTTCGGACAAATTAAATAACGAAAAACGAAAACCACCAAAGACATCTGACATGATTGCCCAATCCAGAGGAATATTGGAAATAATCCTTTTATTACTGCTGTGGCACTATGTGGTAAATCCCTGGAACTGTTATACACAGGAAAGAAACGTCATGTAATAAATGCAAGGCTTGTTTTATTTTTAGATGTTCATAGTGATTACTGGCTGTCAACATCTCAGAATTTCCAATAAAAAGGCGGCCTGGCCTAAAGCCTTGCCTATCAGGTCCTCACTGGTACAATGAATGTAGATTTGCTGACAGGAGACAGTCCGAGAGTTGGGAATAGAGGCCTCCCTGATCCCTATCTCACAGAAACATCCAAACAGCACCTGACGGTCTGATATTGGTCGGTTCACATACCAGCAGGGAAATTCTGCTGTTTAAAATTTCTAAATCTTTCCCAGGTTTTTAAAAAAACTCCTCTGGTTTCAGACATCATTCCCAAGGAAATACCAACTCACACATTAATCTTTCATACTAGGCTTATTTCCTGTAAATAACAACCAGGTTTTGGGAAAAGCAGAAACTCCTCTTCATAACTGGTCATCTATTTTTAAATAAAAGAACAGCTTATCAAGAAAGTTTCCATCAAATCATCCCCAGCTTCCAGAATTTAAAGCAGGATGATGTAAGAAGGGGATATTGTTTCATGATTTTTTTTTAAATTATGCTTATTTTCAGTGGAAAAAAAATGTTAGACCACCAGTTCTTAACCTGTGGGTCACGACCCCTTTGGGGGTGAACAACCCTTTCATGGGGTTGCCTAAGACCATCAGAAAAATCAGATACTTACATTATAATACATAACAGCAGCAAAAGTTTAGTTATGAAGCAGCAATGAAATAATTTTATGGTTGGGGGTCACCACAACATAAGGAACAGTATTAAAGGGTCACAGTATCAGGAAGGTCGAGAACCACTGATTTAGACAACTATGAAATACTAATATTTCTTGTGGAATCAGTTTATCAGAATATGCATTCTTCTTTAACAAGTAGAAAATCTGGCTGAATTTTAAGCAGAGATCATAGCAAGTAGTTACAGATATTACAGATATTACAGATAGCATATTTAGCATCAGAAAACATATACACTGCTATGTATGCATAGCGGTTATGCCTCACATCTCACTTCTCTGTTTCATTTAATATTTCTTCTATCACTTGGTAGTCTGAGGTACAATGTTTACAACTCGCATTAAACCAGAACAGAGATTTGGATATATGTAATAATATAGTTCTAAATAATTTTATTTTTATCTTGAACTAGTTGAACTATCCAATGAGACAAAAGTAGGATATCCATGTTAAGACTCACTGGGTGTCCTCAATTTTTAAAAATTTATACATTATTTTCAGACTAACTCAGTATCTATTAATGTGAGTGAATTCACATCAAAAAAGTATAAAAGTCAAGATGTATAAAAACTTTGAAAAAGCTAGGCGGCGGTGGTGCACACCTTTAATCCCAGCACTCGGGAGGCAGAGCCAGGCGAATCTCTGTGAGTTCGAGGCCAGCCTGGTCTACAGAGCAAGATCCAGGACAGGCACCAAAACTACACAGAGAAACCCTGTCTCAAAAAACAACAACAAAAAAAAAGATCAAAAAAACAAAAACAAAAAACAAAACAAAAAAAAACCCTTTGAAAAAATAAAAAGGGAAAAGCAATTTCTCTTCATTTTTAGAAACTTCTCAATGTCAACATTATTTTCAGAGAAAAACTCTAGGATTAGCCATGGCACCTTTAAATCTCCTTAAAAACGCCATGTGATAAACATAGATAATAAAAGACCAACCTTATTTTTTGAGGCAGGGCTCCACTATACAGCCTCAGGTAGCCTCAAACTCGCTACCCTCCTGCCTCAGCCTCCCCTATGCTGAGATTATAGGAGTGTATCACCACACCCACATTCTAAACCAGAAATTTGTGAGCTCAAATCTTTGTAGATGAGCAGACAAACCAACCAAATCCCAAGCAAAATAGGTAGAGAAGAGAGTATTGTAAAATCCTCCCCATACTAAGTACCCTCAGGGATGTAAACTGTCACATCATCAACTGTTGGGCAACAGTTCACATGCACTTGTCTGGCATTGCCTTCGAGGCTTCCTAAGTATGGAGCATGCAGGTCAACATCTACTGTCTCTAGTCACACACAAAGCAATGCGCAGCACAGTCACTGGCTTATTCACAAAAGCAAGGAAGAAGAGACAAAACACCTACCATTGTCACTGTCTCCTTCAGAGGGAACACTGTAGCTAGAGCTGTCCCATGTTTGTGCCTGTGTAAGTTTGTTGAAGGAGATAGGAAGAATGAGGGCTGGGTCTGCAGGAGAGCGAGAGAGCCAGGCGGACAGTTGCACAAGGACCAGGGAAAACCAAAGGGGTCGCAGGATTTCACACGTGGCATAAGGTTCGTATGGAAATGGAGTGGATTTCATTACACGGGATTTAAATTCAAATGTACAATATAGGAGGAGAATGAGAGATGGCATATGGAATGAAAAGAATGATAGAAACTGAGTGTTAGTACTCATCGGTCACATACTTTGCATGCAGTTAATATCCTTAATCTTAACAGTTCTGCAAGCCTGCAGCCTAGAGTACTTGTGGGTCACAGCAGCAGAGGAAAGAACTCATTTATTCAGCTGAAAGTCAAAGGTCTAGCAGACTATTTAATCACCTAACCAGGAGAGGCAACTGTGAAATTCACCCAGAGCTGCGGGTCCCACTAGACAAAGCTGAACATGGATAAATGTATCTGCTATTTAAAAACAAAAGGATCACAAAAGTGCTGTATATTTTAATGTTCTTTAAAAACCAAGACAATAGTTTTTAAAGACACCCCCATAAGATATCATAGTGTGTTTAATTAAGAACTGAACCTCACCAACTCTTCCTTTATCACTTGAAATACCTTAAAACCCACTTTTCAATATTGCTCAGTAAAATATTTTTGAATATTCAGTAGTCAACATACAAAAAAACCCAACTAGCTAACAGAAGAAAAAAAAACTCTCAAGAATTTCTGAGTTACCTATTTATAAAATGATAACACATCTTATTTTTGTGCTCCATACCCAGAGAGTAATTTCACTGGGTAGTTAAGGAATCTACAATTGGAAACTTGGGGAGAAAATAGTATTTGTTTTCTCCAGCTTAAAATAACACTCTACTTTTCATCTCCTCACAGAACTTGAAGGGTGCACAGTGCAGGGAGAAGACACTCTCTGACTTGGTAAGCTTACCAAGTCTCTATAAATGCATTCAAAGTCACTGAACCCATTTTACAAGCAAGTTACAGGGTCCAACATTCAAAAGACTTTGGAGACTCATCCAACTTTTGATTTCAACTATGAAATATATTTTTTTTAATTTTGCAGAACTGTCCAGAAGGCTTGAAAGCATCTGAAGGCCCACACAAGGCAGAGGAGGGTCTCAGAAGTTACCTCCATTTCTCCCAAAACAGAGCTGGGATTGCGGAGATCAAGGCACAGCCCAGATGTAGCCATACATGCGTAGTTTCACCCCTGAGGAGGCCAGTCATTTGAGTTTTATACTGTTTCATCTAGGCTTTTCCTTTCTGTAACATACTCTCTAGGGCTGGAGATGTAGCTCAGTGGCAGAACACTTGCCTTCATGTGCAAGGGCCTGGGTTCAATTTACAGGACTGAAAAACCAAAACGAAAAACCAAAACAAAAATCCTAGGGACCCTGATCACTCTAGAGGCATTTTTCCTACTGTTTTTTTTTTTTTTTTTTTTTTTTTTTTTTTTTTGTCTTTCAATATTCTAATGGCCAGGAAACCTCACACCTGACCACATGCTGCCCACCAATCAAGGTGCTCCAAGAACAAAACACTTCCTGTATAAATGAACCTTCTTTCTCTTTCCCACAGCTACCTTGATTACAAGCCAAAAACCGGTAATCATACTGTTGTCATACTGCTTCCCCCTCTAAACCCAAGACCGCCTGTGTCCTCTACCAGGTGTGCTTACATACATGTGTCTAGGTCCTTTATTAGAATCCACCTAACAGCATTAGTGGTAAATATGGTAAGTACTAAAGACACAAAAAACTTAAAACAAAGGAGGTCCTAAAAGAAGGCAGAGCACCAAAGCTAGAAATATATACATATAAAAAGAAATATATTTTTCTATCTAGAGTCCTCTTTTAAAAATTAAGGGTGACTTTGCACATTGCTGTAACTGTTTTTGTTAATATAGTAACATAAATTAAAATCAAGTAAATCAAAGAGTTAGATGCTTTCCTAGAAGAATTTCTTCCCCTGACTCCTAACCACTCATATAAGCCTTAAAATGCTCACCCTCTCCTGTGAGTCAATGCAGAGACCTTACCATGCTCAGAAAGCAACTGGGGACATCTTGGGTAGGACTCTGCCTTCAGGTTGCCCTTTAGCTCATCAGGGCACCAGGAACCTTTGGAGTAAAGGGAGCTTTTATTTTCCATGGGTTAAAAAGTTCCTTGCCTACTCACATGTGCCCTTCATTACCTTTCTTTGCTGTGAGTCAAAAGAAAGCAGGTTGCCCATTCCTGGAAGCACAGACCAAACAGCTCGATGCCATCCCCTGACCTCCCGAAGCTGCAGCTGTGCTGACACCAGGACCCCAGTTGACTAGAACGGGCAGGGTTCCTATTACTCAGGCGGACATTTGAAAGGCCACAGAGAAACTGAGTTATTTAGTGTCAAAATCAGCCGAGGTTAACATACCCGAGCGAGGCTTCAGGCCAAACGGAGCTGGGACGTTTGCAGTTGGAGACATTGAAGGGGAGTTCTCTCTCATCTGTGGGGTGAGAAGGAAAGGCAGATGGGGATAAATGAAGAACTAGATGTACTTGTATGGTCATGGATTATTATAAAACCATTCTGCATTTTGCTATTGCTTCACTGTGATGAAGTCTTGGCTTTAAAAAAAAAGATCATTTTGTTAATGCTTTAAGAGGCAGCCAGCCACATGTTCTAGGTACTCTAGTAAATCATGTTACTGTTACTGTTTTGTTGTTGTATCAAATTTTTTACTTGCTCACTATAAAAATATTTTGTAGTGGCATAATGCTGGTGACCCACTTCTCATCCGACACAGCTAAATGGACGTGTGCAGGCATCCCAAAGGGCATTACCTAGTGAAGCCTCTCTGACACGGAGAGATGAAACAGTTAACGCTGAGCAGACAGCTCACCTACACAGAAGCTGCATGCTGAACCATCACAGGTAACAACAATGCCATCAAGTTGAGTGAATTTTTTCTGCCATTTTCTATAAAGACATCCCCATATCTAGTTTTCAAAAACTATTTCTCATAAAATAAATTTTTAATTATACATGGAGCCAAGCGAATCTGTGACAGTGAGTGACAACTAATGAAAGACCCCAGAGGCCTTCCATTAACTCATTCATCCCAGTGTTATCCCAGACATCCATTTCTGTGAAAGATAACTCAGTTCCGTCTTCACGGAACGCCTCGGCTTCCATTAATCTTCGGGAGTCTTACCTCATTTGGAGAATACTGGCTCCCATTACTCTGTAGCATTAGGTCATTCTGCACCTTAAGGAAGAGACAAATGTGTAAGTTCCACCAGACTGTGAGAAAGAGGAGGCAAGGACTGCATCTTTCTCATTTCCATCAGAGCCCTGACCCCAGAAGTACACCATCGCAAATGCTCAATTCATCCATGTGTTAAATAGTGGAGAAAGTCATACTTCTATTTTATAAAACTACACAGCTGTATTCATAGAAGAAAAAAAAAGTACCAGGAGGATAGCACAGCTTGAGATAAGAGATCCCCACAGACAGACCCTTCCCAAGTACCTGTGGACACATCTTACTTGGCAGGGTTCCCAAGAGCCTGCTGGCTCCCTTCTCCATTTTAATTATGGGTTTTTAGAAATGGTCCAAGCCAGTTGTTCCAAAATATACAGAAACACATTGGGAGCTTTAAGTACACATGCCTTCACCCCAAGGAACCTTGAAAAACCTCATTCCCGTGACCAGTTTAGTATCAGTTTGCTGTGACAATCACTGCCTAGGAGAAATGCTAAGGAACAAAGCATGACTTAATTTATGATTGCTAATAAGTAAGTTCAGGGATAGGTAATAACACCTTCATGCATGCCACCACAAAAGCATAAATCCAAGATGCCCATTCTGTTGGGACTGCTATTAAAAAATATCCCTAATTTACGTGAACCCAAGAGAAAAACACATTTAGAAATAAGATGCCATTCACGTCCCTATCCAATTAAGGGTCTCTGTTAGAAGTGGCAACAAGCGGTATCATGCTTACTCTTTAAGTGACTTCTTCCAGGTTTCCCTATTGTTCCCCCAAAACCTTCCTCTCTTCAATCCTATTTCTATACAAGCAGGCGAGGCGCGTTCTCACTACATGGACGCCCACGCTACCCAACTGCATGTGCCCAGTCTTCTAAAGGACGTTTAAGGAAGATCGCCTGAGTGGAGGCAGACCCCTCTACAAGCCTCACCTCACCTCTCAGCATCGTTACACACTGCACTCAATCCTCCCAGGCCGAGGACTTCCACCCTCACTCCGGGTCCATATCCAAAGCGGCCACAAACTAAGTGTCCTTCCCTCTTGTCACACTCGCCATCCTTCCCTGGAGAACACAGGAAACAGACTCGGGAAGGCAAGCCACACCGTATTCTTGGAATATTTTCAACGTCAACATCATCTTTCATTGACTCAACAATTCTGCTGCCTCACAGGCCTCACACTCTAGTCCCCCCATACCAAAAGAAGCCACACGCAGCACGTGTGGGCAACAAATGTTGGCAAACTGATGGTCTGGTGAAAGGGGGTGTAGACATGTAACCGAACAACAAGTGAGACCTCAGAATCAGGAGAGTGGCCTCCAGAAGCCACCCTTAACTTCCGTTTCCTTCATCTCATGACTTCCTTTTCGCATCACGCCAACTATTCACCCCCTTCCTTCTGGAAGTCACAGAGACCTGCCTGTCACAGACCCAAAGCTGCTTTGAGAAGGAAGACAAGAATGCCTTATGCCAAACACGGCTACTCACTGATGCAAAGGAAAACATACAGCATGCTAAATCAGCCAAGAGCACTATATGCTGAACAGAAACGAGTTCAGGGATCCCTGACCCTGGGAAGCTCTGGCAATCTTAGGGACAACTAAGTTTGGTTTCGAGACAGAGTCTCACTGTGTAGTCCAGGCTCACTCCTGCCTCAGTGTCAGAATTATAGGTATGCCCCACCATCTACAGCCAGACAGGCTGCACTTCTGTGTCAAGGTATGACAGTAGTCTGGGCCTGCCTTAGCCTGGCTAGAGTTAGCTCACCCTGGAGGAGAATGTGCGGCTACTGCTTGGATGGTAAGAGACTTCAGCACCTGGCCTTGTGGAGGGACGCCAGATGAAAACTAGACACAGACAAAATCACGCACTGGGCTCTGGTCTATATTTAGTACACATCCATCCTCTTCTATCCTTTCCAAACTCTTCATCATTTCCTGGAAGCATTGCTCATGAACTCCTAAGAGTGCTGGGCTTCTCGCCTTCCGCCAAGACCAGCTTTTAAGGAAAGGTCTGATGCAATCAGGCCTTGCCGAAGTTTGGAGTGTAACAAGACTGAATACAAAGGGGCAATCCAGTGTGCTGAAATAGCTGGGCCTACTCATTACCAGGGTAACTGCCCCAGCCAGTCGCCCAACCTGGAGTTTCACGGTCCTGCATCCATGAATGGGTAATGCCAACAACTCCTGCATTTCCTACTAGTCATCTGGAATATACACTGCTAAGAGCAGGCCCTTTGTGGCCTTCCAAGTTTCCATGGTGACACACAGGTAGGACCCAGAGAATACTTATTAAAGAGATGAAAATAGAAAGTCCTGACTTCATGAAGGTTTGACTTAGAAAATTTCTGCTTTACTCTTGTTTAAAAATGCACCAATCCAGCCGGGCGGTGGTGGCACACGCCTTTAATCCCAGCACTCGGGAGGCAGAGCCAGGTGGATCTCTGTGAGTTCCAGGCCAGCCTGGACTACCAAGTGAGTTCCAGGAAAGGCGCAAAGCTACACAGAGAAATCCTGTCTCGAAAAAAAAAAAAAAACAAAAACCAAAAACCAAAACAAAAACAAAAAAATGCACCAATCCAACCATCACCATTTTGGTGTTTGTTTGTTTGTTTGCTGGTTTGTTTGTTTTTGTTTTTTGAGAGAGAGGGTTTCACACAGCCCTGGCCTGCCTCAAGCAAGGCTACTATTGAACTCCTGACCCTCCTGACTCTGCCTCCTGAGTGCTGATGTTACAGGTGCATGCTACCACACAATCTGTTGAATGCTTTCAGTAGAGTGGTCAATAAATTACTTCAGGTTTTATTCTAAAGTGGGCATTACATTAAATGATTTTGCCTCACTGCAAGCCAACGTAAGTTCTCCGAACCCATTAGCAGGCTAGGCAACAGTGCTTACTAGAGTAGACAGCTTAAATGCATTTTCAAGTTAATGTTGCTTTTAACTTAGCAACAGTTTATTGGGAACAGACGCCCATTGTAAGGCAAGAAGAACCTGTGTTGATAAGGCATATGAAATAGGAAGCACATGACCTGGCCCCCAGAAAAGCCTCCTTTTTCCCCCACATCAGGAAGAAGTATTTTTGAATAGGGACACAGTGTTGGAATTGTGCCCTGGAGATGCAGTGAAGCTATTTTTTTGTCTAGAAGCCTTGTGTCCTCTTCACCCTGAAGTCATGCAGCAGGAGTCATAGAGAGTGGAAGTATTTCTTCACAGACTTTTCATCGGTCACAGGGGAAAAATGAAATAATCCTAATACAGTGATGAAATGGGGTTAGGTAACAACTGAGTGCTTGAATTACAACAAGCAATGGGATCGAGAAGGATGGGGCAAGCCCCCCAACCCTATGGCCTGGGAAGAGCACAGGACAGCACCTAGGCGATAACCAAAATGAGAAGGCAGCATCGCAATCATGAGAAATGTCAGACAAACACCAAAGGAAGAACATTCCACTAGAAAGGGAATGTTCTGGGAATGTGGCTCAGTTGGTAGAGGATTGGCCTAGCATGCACAAGGCCCTGGGTTCAATCCCCAGCACTACATAAACTGGACGTGGTGATGCACACCTGTAATCCAACACTCCAGAGGTGGAGGCAGAACGGCCTGAAGTTTAAGATCACCATCTACCTACAGTGAGTTTGAGGCCAGCTTGGGATACATCAGAGTCTATCTACAAAAGAAAAGGCCTAGCAGGAGTTAAGGTGGCACATGTCTATAAGTCCAGGATTTGGGAGGTAGGAGTAGGATGATTACAAGTTCAAGGTTATCTTCTGAACTATCAAGAGTTCTAGAACACCCCGGGCTACAAGAGATCCTCTTTCAAAACACCAAAAAAGAAAAGGCCTGTATTCTCCATAATTTCAATATCCTGAATTATCATTCTCAGAAATGTGGGAAAGCAAAGGAGACTATAAAGAGACCAGAGAGATTCGGCGACCAAACACAAAGCCTGACACTGACTGAAGTCCACATCGAAGGGTCAGGAATGCTCAGAGAACTATTTTAAATCAGCTGATCTATCTGGGATGTGGAGTGTTGAGGACAGAAAAAAGGCTAATCAGCATACACTTCTGACGTGGAAGATAGAAATTCGTCTGCAGAAGAATCCCTGTTTGTACACCATGTAACACTGAAATGCTAGAGAGAAAGCAGAGTGATGTCCATGCTCTCAGCTATTCCAAAGAACTATAGATGTGGAGAAAAAAAAGGAAAGATTCCAAATAATACAACAGATGTGGGAAAACATCAGGTTGAATCTCCCTGTCCAAAGGCAAGGGATTGATTAGAAGTGTTTGTACTTCAAAAGTCTTGGGTTTCAGCCGGGCGGTGATGGCGCACGCCTTTAATCCCAGCACTCGGGAGGCAGAGCCAGGCGGATCTCTGTGAGTTCGAGGTCAGCCTGGTCTCCAAAGCGAGTTCCAGGAAAGGCGCAAAGCTACACAGAGAAACCCTGTCTCGAAAAACCAAAAAAAAAAAAAAAAAAGTCTTGGGTTTCAATTATTTGCAAATCCGTAAGAGGAGCTTGGAAACAGGGCTCTAATCTAAACAGTTGGTTTTCATTTCATGTATGCCTTATACACATGGTCTGAGGGGACTTTATTCTGTATTTCAAGTGTACCTGTGTTGTAACTTTGAACTTTCTCATGAGATCAAGCGCAGAATTTTATATCTGTAGTGTCCTGGTAGTGCTAAAAAGAGTTTCAAGCTCTGTGACATCTTGGATTTGCATACTAACAATATTTAGCCCATAACTGGAAAATCTAAGTGGAAAATTATATTTTTTTATAACTTTTATAGAACCTGTAATTTATTTTTATAATCTTTTTGAAGTTAAAAGTATTTCTAAATATGAAACTTTTTTAAATAGTGAGTCTAAGCTGGGTGGCGGTGGAGTATAACTTTAATCCCAGCACTCGGGAGGCAGAGCCAGGCAGATCTCTGTGAGTCTGAGACCAGCCTGGTCTACAGAGTGAGATCCAGGACAGGCTCCAAAACCACACAGAGAAACCTTGTCTTGAAAAACCAAACAGGGAAAAATATGAGTCTACAGGGAGGAGCTGGAGAGACAGTTCAGGGGTTAAGAGCACCTTCTTCTTTCAAAGGCCCTGGGTTCGACTTCCAGGACACAAATGGCAACTTACAACCATCTATAACTCCAGTTCCAGGGGTTGTGACGCCCTCTTCTGATCTCTATGAGCACCAGGCATGTATGTGGTGCATACATATGAGCAAAACACTCATACACATTAAAAAAAAAAACAAACTTTAAAAAAGTGAGTCTACTCAGTCTCAAACAGAGAGCATAAGAAACCAGCACAGGGCCGCCTGCAAATAAAAGTCCCCTGATGTTCAATCCTGGTTCATTTGCAAAGGTGGCACCGTGGTTCTGCCTGAAGACCACACCGATAACAATAACCGAGTAGGAGAGTAACAGCTAGCATTTACATGCCCGCTGCTGTGAGACTTCTCCCGAATCATCTCATTTGAGCTGTACAGTAGCTATTATTAGACTGAAATTTACCAAAAATAAAAGTAAAGTTTAGAGAGGTTAATTAAGTTGCACAGAGTTAGCAATTCAGAGACAGGGCAGCTATGTAACGTAAACACTAGTCCCTACTCTAACAATGTAACCACACTCTCTGCAAACACGGCTCTTGCCTTTACATTTCTTTTTTCCTTGTTTCTTTTGCACAGACATGTTGAGTGTGAAACTGCTTTATTATTTCATAGGACATGTGCAGGCAGCTCCAGGACATATACTGGTTTGTAAGGAATCTCAGTATTTCAAGTGGCCATCTTAAACCCACTCACTAGGAAGAGTGGGACAGAGTGTAGTAGGCTCTGTGGTAGTTTGAGTGAGAATGGCCGCCATAGGCTCATATATTCAAATACTTGATCCCAGGTGATGGGATTGTTTAGCAAGGATTAGGAGGTGTGGCCTCATGAGAGGAGGTATGTCTCTGGAAGCAGGCTTTGTGGTTTCAAAAGTCCACACTGTTCCCACCAGTTAGCTCCTTCTGTCTCCTTCTTGAGAACTAAGTTGTGAGCTCTCAGCTACTGCTCCAGTACCATGCGTGCCTACCTGCTGCCATATTCCCCACCAGGGTGGTCATTGACTTTAACCCTCTGGAACCATGAGCCCTGAATGAAACATTTTCTTTTGTAAGTTGCCTTGGTTACAGTGTTTTGTAACAGCAATAGAAGAATAGCCAGAAGTTCGTACCAGGGAGTAAGCTAATGCTTTGACAGGCCAGACCATGATGTTTTTCAGAGGAATGTGGGTGACTTTGGGACTCTGCGCTAGGAAAGCAGTTGGATGCTGTTAAGGATGGTTTAACAGGGCTATCGTAGTAGGAGCTTGGAAGACACTAGTGCTTAGAGCAGTGGCACTATGGAGACCAAGCACAGGTGGTTCCAGAGAAGAACAGTATTAGCCAACTGGGCCAGAGACCATTCTTGGGATATTTTGGCAAATAATGTGGCTGCTTTTTGCCCCTATCCTAAGAATCTGCCTGAAACTAAATTAAAAAGTTTGGGACTAATTTCTTTGGCAGAGGATATCTGAAGACAGCTTATATTTATTCAATTGTGTATTATTAGTAATAACTCCTATGCAGTGAAATAACTCTACAGTGAAAAGTACCAAGCAGGACAAAAAGAAATTCAAAATGTACAGTCTGAGAAAAAACAGAACACCAGAAAATTTAATGTTGGAGTCCAGGTTTGCGCTGAAGGAGATAAAGAGATGCTAGATGCCAAATGGAGCCAAGGGAGTAATGCCCTCAGGCAAGACCCCACCCAGCTTGTCTGCAACATCTGGAAAAGGGCCCAGAAATTTTTCTGGTCCTAAAATAAGCAACAAATCAAAGCTTATGTAATTGTAATTCAAGGAGGGAGTCAGGCTCCATCCAAAGAGGGCAGCTGAATTAGGCAGCATCAGCCATGTGGTCTGGTTTAGAGTCATGAAATCCAGGAGTACAGGGGTTGTGGAATCCTCCTCTACGGCAGTGGTTCTCAACCTGCGGGTTGCAACCCCCATAGGGGTCACGTATTAGATATCCTGTTTATCAGATAGCTACATTACAATTCATAATAGCAGCAAAATTACACTGATGAAGTAGAAATGAAATACTTTTATGGTCGGGGGTCACCACAACATGAGAAACTGTTGCTAAAGGTTCGCAGCATTAAGAAGGTTGAGATCCTTCTATGGTTAAAAAGAGCTTCTGGGGTCAAGTGTAGGGCAGGGATGTCCCTGCATGGAAGTCCTAAAAGGCCATTGCATGAAGCCATGAAAGCAAAGCCTAGATTGTGTTGGAGACCCCAGGATGTTGGAGGTGCCAGAACCACGGGATGTACGCCAGAAAGATCTGCACACAGGGAAGGGAAGGGAACCAACCCAAGAGAGAAAGTGTGTCGCAGTCAACAAAGCTGGAAGGGTAGAACCTTCGAGGCTCTTTGACATCAGACATGGAATTACAGGATCTAAAGTTTGCCCCGCTGAGCTTGTTATTTTTTCTTTCTCTTTGATCCACTTTCTTCACACTGACCCCATTCCTCCCTTTCGGAGGGATGTACAGAATGGTAATGTATATTCTCTGCCATTGGGTATTGAGACTATGCAATTTCCTTTTTTCATTTTAAAGGGGTTACAATTAAAAGATTGCCTTGGGTCTCAGAAGAGACTTTGAAACTGTTCCAACTGTAAAAGACCGTGGTGACCTTTGAAGCACATTAAATGCATTTTGCATTAAGCTACGGCCACAAGCCAATGGGGCCCAAGGAGTAAAATACAGTGGTTTGAATGAAAATGGCTCCCATGGGCTCATAGATTTGAATGCTTAGTCCCAGTTGATGAAACTGTTTGGCAAGGATTGGGAGGTGTGGCCTTGTTGGAGGAGGCATGTCAGTAGAAGCAGGCTTTGAGGTTTCAAAAGCCCATGCCATGTCTGTCTGTCTGTCTGTCTCTGTCTCTCTCTCTCCCTTCACCCCCTCTTCTCTGTCTGTCTGTCTCTGGCTTGTAGACTGAGATGTGAGTTCTCAGCTTCTGCTCTAACACCACGCCTGCCTGCCTGCTATCATGGTCCCTGCCATGATGGTCATAGACTCTAAACCTCTGGGGCCCCAAATTAAACATTTTCTTTTATATGCCCTCTTCACGATGTTTTGTCACAGCAATAGAAAAACAGTCTGTAGCTCCCAAACTAATAGCTCAAACCTATCTTTCCACAACTGGGATTAGCTTTCTTTAGGATCATTTCTAGTTTTATGTCAAAAATGTTTTCTCCATGGCCACCTAAATTTCTTTTTATGTAACTATCCAATCCTGTCCCCAAATATTCCCACCACCTTCTCATTTTAGTATTCTTTTGTATCTGTGTATACATCTATGTGCACATAAATGTGGAAGCCAGGCGTCAACATCTGGAGTCTTTCTCAATTGTTCTCCACTTTATTTTTTGAGTAGGAATTCTAGCTCTGTGGGTCTCAAACTGTGGGTTGCCACCCCATTGGGGGTCGAATGACCCTTTCACAGGGGTCACATATCAGATATCCCACATATCAGATATTTACATTATTGTGGGAGGCCAGCTCCCATCTTTTAAAGGGTTCCTATGAGGAGAGGAATAAGAAACTTTCAGATAGAAAGACAGTGGAGAGGAGACAGACAGAAACACAGGATAGCTTCAGGAGGACCTGGATCAAACCCCACCAGCCCCTTCTGTCTCTTCAAAAGGGGTTTTTATAACAATGCCAAGGGGCGGGACCAAAGACCTCCCCCTTGCTAGATCAAAGCACACCACACAGCCAAGTGCAGACCGTTCCAAACACCTGGTAACCACTCCCGTGGTCAAATCATCCCCTTATACAGCCCTGCTGGGGAAAGCAAGCTCAGATCTCGGACCCTGAGTAAGTTCTCACTAGGAAACCTCTGTGAGTCTCCATACATAATAATTTATAACAGTAGAAAAATAATAGCTATGAAGTAGCAACAAAAATAATTTTATGGTTGGGGGGGTCACCACAACATGAGGAACTGTAGTAAGGGGTCACAGTATTGGGAAGGTTGAGAACCACTGCTCTAGTTGAACCTGTGGCTTTACCAATCCAGCTAGGCTGGCTAACCAGTGATCCCCAGAGATGCTCCTGTCTCCATCTTGTAGCAGTGAGATTACAGGCACAGGGTGCCATGCCTGGTATTTCACACAGGTGCTGAGGGCCTGAACGCAGGTAGGTCTTTATGTTTGCATGGCCATCTATGTCCCAGCTCCCTGTGTACTCTTTTCATCTTCCCAGACAGCCTCAATTCATTTGATCACGTCCTTGAGGTCCTTCGTTTGGCTAGACTTTTTTCTCGGCTCTAATGTCTGCACCAAATGGGCCTCCCTCTCATTTCTAACCCAGCAGAGGCTTCCTATGCATCTTAGTGACCACTGCCTGACCCAGTGATTCTATCTTGGCAAATAAACATAGAAATTCTAACAGAATCAGCCAGCTCTCATCTTTCAGGGAAGGGGAGGGACAACAGATCAACAGAGAGTAAAAGCAGGAAGCGGGTAAAAACGTGTCAAGAACAGATGCGGCTACTGTCCTCCCACAAGGCAATGCCAAGCTCTGTCCTTACCTCACACTCTGGAGACGTCTCCAACTGCGGCTGACCACTGTAGTAAGGCGGGAAGGAAAAAGAGACAGAGTGGATTTTGAAATACAAACGCATCATTGTGAAAACCGAAAATACACTTAATTATGAAGGGTGAACGTACTTGAGCGTAGAGTCAGGTAATTCTAAGGCTTCTGCTGAGCCCACGGGGTACAGGTTCAAAATGCTTCTCTCTGTAATGTCGGTGCTCAGGCTAAAGAGGAGGGAAATCATTAAACTTCCAGTAAACTCTACTGGCCCCATGCACTTTAAATACTTAACTGACAAGCAAAGATTGTCTTCAGGATTAAGAGAAAAGTTTTCCAAACACATGTTGCTTTCCCAACATAGTTTCCTATCAGCTATTGGCACTTCTTATGTACAACTTATATACAAAATAGCACAGTAAATTCTGATAAAGTCATGATTTTCAAGGGTCATATAAAACTGAATTTATCTAGAACATCCCATATTTACAGATGTAAAATCAAGTTGCTAAAGTATTAACATGGCAGTATTGATGACATCTAGTTTTGACTGCAAAGTCTCTCTGATTTAGACTGCTACACTTAAAAATTACGAACCCACTGATTGGCTCACAAGAATAGTACAATAAAAATCAAGCTTGTCAAATTTATTTCAATTATTTTAAAATAAAGAACAAATATATGAAGTAACCAACACAGTGGAATAGAAAGTATCCAACATAAAATGGCTTCAACATGGCCCTTGACAAAGACACCAGTCGGGTATCACTTGGAAATCTTTTGGGGTAGTCTCCTAAGGTACTGTACGTATCTGCCATTCTGCACACTCAGCATGTCCAGATGCTCCTCTTGTCTCATGTACTCCAGAGCTGCCAGGAGTCTTTCTAACTCAGTAGTTCTCAACTTTCCTAATGCTGTGACCCTTTAATACAGCTCCTCATGTTGTGGTGACCCCAACCATAAAATTATTTTCGTTACTACCTCCTAACTGTAATTTTGCTACTGCTATGAATTGTAATGTAAATATCTGGTATGCAGATTGTAGCTGAACTTTTTTTGTTCCTGCCTGGCTCCTGCAGCCCTGTGGCTGCTTGGACCCAAGTAAACACACAGAGGCTTATATTAATTAAAACCGCTTGGCCATTAGCTCAGGCTAACTATTGACTAGCTCTTACACTTAAATTAACCCATAATTCTTACTTATGTTTAGCCATGTGTCTTGGAACCTTTTCCCAGTTCTGCCTTCACATCTTGCTTCCTCTGTGTCAGGCTGGGAACTCCTGACTCAGCCTTCCTGTTCCCAGAATTCTTCTCTCTCTTTGTCCTGCCTATACTTCCTGCCTGGCTACTGGCCAATCAGCACTTTATTTATTAACCAATCAAAGCAACACATTCACAGCATACAGAGTGATAGTCACGGCAGCAGATGGTCTTAGGCAACCCAGTGTAGGGTCATTAGACTCACCTGAAAGGGTTGTGACCCACAGGCTGAGAACCACTAGTCTAGAGAATCCTAACTCAACCTACTTTCCAACAGAAGAGGAAACTGAGGCCCAAATGCAGAGTCTTTCCTCCCAGTTGCTCTGTCTTTTTTTTTTTTTTTGGTTTTTTGAGACAGGGTTTCTCTGTGTAGCTTTGCGCCTTTCCTGGATCTCACTCTGTAGACCAGGCTGGCCTCAAACTCACAAAGATCCGCCTGCCTCTGCCTCCCGAGTGCTAGGATTAAAGGCGTGCGCCACCACCGCCCGGCTCCAGTTGCTCTGTCTTATGACTGAGTCCTAACCCATACAGCAGGACACAGCTATCTCCACAACATTGGGACCTGCTTTTTCTTTTTCTTTTCCCTTGGGAATCACTTACTAACCAGTCAGACTTTGTAAAAACAAAACAAAACAAAACAAAAAGTTTACTAATAGAGTGAAACAAGATTTAAAATACATTAAAACATAGAAAACTGGAGCCCTCTCCCTATGATGTCAGCTCTTCAACTCTCCACTTTAGTTTCCATTTCCTCCCTTCCTTGTTCCTGCCCTCTGCCCCTCACCCCCTTACACAGCACCTTCTGAACCCCAGTTCTCAGCCCTACAGTGCCATGTGGAGTTCTATCTTCAGAACTGCTCGGCACATGCTCAACTGAAGCCAACAACCTCACTCCTCAGCTGGCCACGCCCTCCCACTGCATTCTCTTCATCAGATGATAAGACAGCAAGAGTTCAAGTCTTTCCCAACCCCAGATTGATCCTCTGCCCTCCTCATTTCACAGTCCACGTGTAAGCCACCAAACTCAGAACTGACCACTGAGAATCTACTGAGTATAAAACACTGGACAGCTTTGAAGGAGCCACAGCAAAATACCCATTTCAATATGTTTCCTTCTAGATTTGTTTAAGTCTCTTATGCAACTGGAACCTAATTCTGTATTTATAATTGAACTCAAACTATGCATTTTTAGATTAAACTTTCTAGAAGTGAGTATTAAATAAGGATCATTTCAGCATCAATGTAACCTTAACAAAAATGTTATGGACCACATGACATTCTATTTTATCAATGGCCATAAGATATTTAAAGTCCTCCCAAACGGTTCATTTCCTTTTTTTCTAAATATTGCTGTTAAAAATATCCATCCCTCATCAAACAAAACAATAGTTCCTCTCCCTTGGTTCCTTAAGGTAAATTCTCACAAGTCATTTGAAAGGTCCACATACTTCTAAATGTTGCTTACATACTACCAAGGTGACTTTGGGGATTTTTACCAAATTAGTTTCATTAAAACTGTTTATCATTTCAAATCCTTACACACCTAAGAGGCAAGTGGGTACTCTACTTTGTAGATCCATCTCATAGATGAAAAAAATGGGATTCAGATGTCAAAACCAGTTTCCAGGTGACTCAAAGTGTGCCGATAGCACCAGCCATGCTACTTCCTAATTCTTTGGACATGCACACATGCACGCATGCACACAGGCTCACATCTCAAATCAATTAACGTCTCTGGAGTTAAAATGCTTTTCAAAGGCCAGCAAGATGGTTCATTGGGGAAAGGTGCTCCTGCTAAGTCTGACCCAAGTTCAATCCCGAGGCCCTCGTGGTGGCAGGAGAGGGCAGATTGTTCGAGTTGTCCTATGATCTCTACACACACGCTGTGGAGTGTGCTAGCTCGCTCACCTGTACCCACTCTCATTCCCTCTCTTACACATACACACTAAGTGTAATTTAACTTTAGATGGTTTTTGATCGATTGCTAAAGATTTCCAGTCATACACAAATGGACAGGCCACTATTCTTTCAGGGCCAGATGACACTGTGGAAGGTTCTGCCTGGATTCACGAACCACCTTATTTATAAACTCCAGCTAAAAGTGATGTGTGTGTAGTAGCCATGTGCACAATATGACCCCATCATCCTCACATTCCCAGGACTCATGGTCAGAGATGAGGTTCAGGTCTACTGCTGCAGTTGTCTTGTACTTAGTGTCTCATTTTGGATACTGTTGGACTGAAAGGAACTTTGTCTGTGAAAATTACATTATCTAAGGAACAGAGAGAGAGAGAGAGAGAGAGAGAGAGAGAGAGAGAGAGAGAGAGCGAGCATGTTTGTGACAGAGTCCAATTCAAATTTAAAAAGGAATCTACAACCCAAATCTTTAGAAATATATTGGCTGGTTGTCATATCTGGCACTACCAGAAATACATAGAAGTTTTAAATTTCCATTTTTAGTAGAATTTGCCTATGTTTTTGTACTTCTGTCATATTTCCATTTTCTGTAAATGATACCAAGCATCCCGCAGGAATGTCTTGAGAGGTAAGGGCAATCATTAAAGACTGAGAAGGCCGGAACTTATCTCAACCACTATAAAAATGTGACTCTTTTACTTCTGGGTCTTGGGGAATAGGCAATTAAGTGACTTCACTTTGTTACTGCTCACATCAAGACCAAATTGGGTATAACTGGTATAAATATTTCAGAAAGTGAAGCCATGTCCTCAGTAACTTAGCAGGCTTCATTTATACACAAGACCGGGCTGGGGACAGAAGGGCATACCCGTTGGGATCCTGAAGCAAATCCTCTGCTTCCCTCAGCTGCTCAATCATCGATATATCCAAATCCTGATCTTTGGATGAACCTAGTCTGCAATACAAAACCAAGCATGAGTGCAGAATGACTACGAAAACATCTTAAGCACCTCCTTGCAAAACCCCATCAACCACCGAAAAGTAATTTTGACAAACTCAATACTGTAATACAGACATGTCAGTATCCTGCAGGTTGGGTCCTATGGTGATGGGAGGAGTCCCTGGGCAGAGAAAGCCCAGTTCAACTCCAAACTCCCAGGCCTCCACTTGCTCTTATGGCCAGTCAGGCTGAGGACAAGGCTGGTGAGTCTCCACACTTTGCTGAGTTCTGCAAGATTTCCTGGAAGCACTCCCCCGAGCGAAGCTATACTCATTCTGAGGCTTCCAACTCTGGTTCCACCAGCATGGCTAGGTGTTATGACTTTTATGGTGTGAGGGGCTCAGTGGGGAAGAGTGGCTCTCCATCCTGATTCTTTAATCCCGGAAAATCAACTATAAAGCTTAAGAGACACACTAGCCCTAACACACCTAAGCTAATCTGACCTCCTGTAAAGACAGGCCTCCTAGAAAACTCTACAGGTGATCCTGACTTTATAGCCAGGGTTGCGAAAAGATGTGAAACTGAAAATGGGACTTCCAAAGACTTATCTGGTTTCAGTTCTCTTTCCTCATGGTAGCATGATGCTACAGTAAATCAGGCCTCCTTGGCCTCTCAGAAGTGTATCCAACAAGGAGCTGGTGGGACAGAGTGACAAGAAGGGAATTTCCGGCAAGAGAAACTGGATCACAGTTGACTACTCTTGCCACACACAGTGGGCTGGTGAATCCCTACTAGTAGAGAACACTTTAGTAGGTGCATTTTAACAATTGCACCAGTCCTTTTTAAGGAAAAAAATAATCCCGACAAAGTATAGTGGGAAGTCGAGACCTATATATACCCTGGACCACAGAAAGCAAAAGGCCTACCAACTAAACATCTGCCCTGGACCACAGAAAGCAAAAGGCCTATCAACTAAACATCTACCCTATGCTACAGGTACCAAGTCTACTTCCTGGAAGAGGCTCATTTTCTGGCAAAACACTCATTTGCTCCCCTGGAGATCTCGCCAAATAAACCTTTATATATAGTAGAAGGAAAAGAGATATTCATTTGGTACAAGATTCCTCAGGGTCAAATGTTAGCCCTCTGTAGCCTTGGAGACAAGAGCATCACCAGTTTGTGATGCAATTTCATCATCTGCAGCATGGCAGACAACAGAGCTTATAGGACTACTGAAAGGACGAGCTGAGCTTTGGCCTATGAAATAGAACAGTGCCAGGCATGCAGAATCTAACATACGCCAGTTATGACAGTTATCAGACCGGCAACCAGGACATTGAAGAAACGCTTTTCAAAAATTTGAACCAGGGGCTAGAGAGATGACTCAACAGTTAAGAGCACTGGCTGCTCTTCCAGAGGACCTGGGTTCAATATCCAGCACCCATATGGCAGCTCACAACTGTCTGTAATTCCAGTTCCAGGGATCTGACACCCTTACACAGACACACATGTAGGCAAACACCAATGCAAATAAATAGATCATTTAAAAAAATTTTTGAACCAGAAGACCTTGGTTGAAGGGACTGGCTCTCCTGACATTAGGTCTGGCTATTGGCTTCTTCAAACAAAACAGAAGGAAAGGAGAAGACACTTTGGCTACTATTACGTTTTTTGACTGACAACATTGAGTCAGATAAAAATTCAAGGCCAATAAAGAAGTAAAACTTTCTGCTGTGCGGTGGTTCGGATGTAACTTCCAAACTTTATGTATAGAAAACTCAATGCCAAAGGCAGCAGTGTTAGGCATGGGACCTTCATGAGGGAATCCTGGGCCCCTGAGAGGAGCCATGGGTACCATTATTACAGGAGATGGCTCCTTATCCACAGGAGCTCAACTCTGTCTCACACCCGCTCTTCCCATGGGACAGCTTCTCACTAGACAGAGCCCTTTGACCTTGGACTTCTAAGCCTTTATAACTGCAAACCAAATAAGCTTCCATGTCACCTAGTCTATGTGGTATTCCCTTATAACAGCACAAATGAAGACAAACTGTATGGCCCAGTACTGTAACAAGAGTCACAGAAAACTGGCAACTTCCTATCCAGTATGACTGGGGAAGATTCTAGGCTTGCCCAAAGAAAAGTGGATCAAAATCTATCAGGACATGAGTGCCAGTGTGCCTGAAGAGGAGCGATGGCCCATGACCCGCCCTGGCACTCACAGTCCCTCCATCGGCCAGTGAGCATCCTCTTCTATCCGCAAAAGCTCTTCACAGTCTTCTGCCTGGTCCTACGGAGAGAACACATGGGATATTCAATGAAGAGTTAACACCGGTCCCAGCCCATATCCGTGGCAGTGTAATTCACAAGAGCCCAAAGGCAAAACAAATCAGGTATTGGCTGATACGCTATGGCTCTATAACGGAATATTCTTTACACTACATACAGAAAACCTTGAGTATGAAATAACACACACAAGCACTCTGCATGACTGCACCCACATGAGGTATTTATAGGAGCCAAATTCATTGAGATGGAAAGTAAAGCAGTGATTGCCAGAGAGGGGAGGCAGAATGGGACAGATTTAATAGGTACACAGTCTCAGTTCCGAAGGGTTTTGGAGGCCACAGAACAGTGTAACAATATGTATGTACGGGGCTGGAGAGATGGCTCAGCGGTTAAGAGCACTGACTGTTCTTCCAGAGGTCCTGAGTTCAATTCCCAGCAACCACATCGTGGCTCCCAACCATCTGTAATGAGATCTGGAGCCCTCTTCTGGCCTGTAGGTATACATGCAGGCAGAATACTATATACATAATAAATAAATAAATAAATAAATAAATAAATAAATAAATAAATAAACAAACAAACAAATAAATAGATTTCTTAAAAAAATATGTATGTACTTAACACAAACTGTACTGTGCAACCAAAATGTGGCTAGGAGAATCTATTGGGGTGCTGTATAGGTAGTGTACACTTGCACCTCAGCATTTGGAAAGTCAAGTAAGGCAGAAGGATCGTGAGTTCAAGGTCAGCCTGAGCTACCCTACCAAGACCTTGTCTCAAAAAATTTTACAGATAAAAGATTTTATTTTTATATGTATTTTACCACAATTAAAACTTAAAAAATTAGCCGAGAGGTGGCAGTCTTTAATCCCAGCACTCAGAGAGGTAAAGGCAGGTAGATCTCTGTAAGTTTGAAGCCAGATTGGGCTACAAAGTGGGTTCCAGGACAGCCAGAGCTGTTACACAGAGAAACCTGGTCTCAAAAAAAAATAAAACAACAAGAAAAAAAAACTTAGAAAACTAAAGATTTAAAAAAAACCATAAAGTTTACCTGAGCTCCTTATTTAATTCAACTTACTAGTATTTAACAATAGAAAAAGGCCCTACACTGAATCCAATAGTTTCATGTGAACAAATTCAAAGGTCACTCAAATGTTTTCCCTGAGCCTCCCACACCAAAGTTCTCCAGAGACGCTGCAGCAGGAGTGAATTCTGGGAAAGCTGTGTCCACTGTAGGCCCTCGGATTTTCTCCTCAGACAAGGAAAATGTCCTGGCTGGGCTAACACTGGCAGGGAGGGAGCCACCCTGGAATGGGTACATTTCCCTATTAGGGAAAGAACATTAGACTGTGGGAAGTAGAGCACATCATCATTGGCTCTGGTGTGTCTTTAGGACCAGACTTCCCCGAGGAAGGATGTTTCAAAAACCACTCAGACTTCTACTGTATTGATTGTACTTTCACAGTTTAACAATCAACACATAAACTAATCATGTGTCACTCTGCAAATGACAGTGAAATCCATGAAAACAGACTCCCAGATGTCACATCCAAAGCAACAGGCCCCAGGTCTTCTAGGTTTCAACTAGTGGAATTGGTTTCCTTCTCATTTTCAGCTTCAAGATGAAAAGTTACCAAAATATGTAGCTTTTCTTCAGAACACAGAACAGACTGACATTAGCATGCTGAGATTTTTTTTTTTTTTCAAATTAGGCAGCGTTCAAGAACTGGCCCACTCCACAAAAATTTACCTGCAGTCTCCAAAGCAGTGCTCAGAGTACTTCGGAGTAACACACACACACACACACACACACACACACACACACACACACACACACACAGAGCAATTGGCAAAAATGAACTAAAACATGCAGACATGCAGGACTCCAGGTGAGGCAGGATGAGGAGCACTCTGCCTCCTGGCTCTAATTCTCATACTGTAAACTGAACAAGCATGACTGTTGGTCTAGTTAACTGCACATTTTCATATTTTTGTGCCTTTTTAAACAATGATTTCACAGTTCAAAATGGGCCCCAAATATAATGCTGAGATGTTGTCTAATCTTCCTAAGACAACTACAAAGGACCTCATTCAGAAAAGACATGTTAGAGAAGTTTTATTCAGGTATGCATGACCGTGTTGGTGAATTCCGTACTAATAAACCAATAATAGGCAGTCATACATAAGGTTATGTTGCTAATGATGCTGTAGCCATCTGAGGCTGCCACGTGCAAAGTGATGAAATTCTGTAACGACACATTTCTCAAAACCTCTCTCCACCATTAAGGCATGCCTGACTTGACACTGAGCCAGGTGTCTCTAAAAAGAGACATCCATAAAACAAAGGTTTGTGTTGACTGACGAAAATGTAACCAAAGGCTCTCAGAAATCTAAGCTGGTATTTTCTCTAAGCAGACTGTCTTGGTATTGGATGATTTAATATGCATAGTGGTTTCATACAATATAACTATTACAAGTGATAAAAACTAACCAGAATAACAGAAGCACAAGATACCAATTCAGGAAACATGAAAGGATTATATAAAATACAGAGCTTTCGATGGTCAACATGCTGGGCAGTACAGCATACTCATTGGTCCTCAATTATAAGGCTACACAATAGAAGCTAAACCTAACACAAACTTGCTCCTTGAGTATCTGTCCACGGAATCCACCCTCTACAGCAGCCATTTCCAAGGTCCTTGGCATCCTGGAACTCTCTGAATCTAGGGGACAGTATGCTTTACTAATTACTTTGATTTCCTTTGGAACGTGAGTTGGAGTCTGACTCTTCCAAACACATCTTTCAAGTGTTCTATCTTTAGAGTCTGAAGGGAAACTCTTGAGGAAGTGAAGACAAAGTCATTTTCCCATGTTCTCATGACTCTCACTGTCCCACAGAGCAGACAGACAAGGGTCAAATGTGGAAGAACCTTGTGGGAGGGACCTGAGAGTAATGTAATCAGATTTGTGCTCTAAGAAAATAGCTGGTGGCAGAAGACAAAAGGTGTGTATGTATGTTACAGGCATGCACACACATGCGCACATGCTCATGCGCGCGCGCACACACACTTACAGAGGAGCTGAGTGGGCACCTGTAACTATCACAGTGAGACATGACGAGTTCAGCTAAAGCAACGTGGATGGAGACAGAAGAGGAGGGAAAGCTCTGAAGGAGAAGAGCTAGGCTACTGTACAGACTGTTTTGTGTTTCCCCCTTCTGTCTATGTCTGTTACCGTTTTAGACCAGTGGTTCTCAACCTATGGATCTCAACCCACTTAGAGTCTAATGACTCTTTCACAGGGGCTGCCTAAGACCATCAGAAAACATAGATATTTACCTTATGATTCATAACAGTAGCAAAATTCCAGTTATGAAGTAGCAACAAAAATAACTTTATGGTTGGGGGTCACCATGACATGAAGAACTGTATTAGAGAGTCTCGGTGTTAGGAAGGTTGAGAACCACTGGTCTTAGACTGTCACATTGCACGAACGAAGTGGGGTCAGTTATGGATTTGTCAAATTAATTATTTCCACCTCAAGGGCATGAGGAAGGCTACAGCACACTAGCGTCTTAAACAGAATAAATCAAGTTCAGCTGGTCTTCCTTCTGGTGGTCCTTGGAGTTAATGCCCAAAAATATCAGTCAGGCTGGGTCAAAGCACCAAACTGATCATCAGAAAACATGGATGAGGTGCTGGCAGGATGGCTCAGTAGGTTAAGGTGCCCTGCCGCCAAGCCTGATGATTTGAGTTCAATCCCTGGGATCCACCTGATAGAGGGAGAGAACTGCCTCCCACTCTTCTCCCCTGACATCCATACAAGAGCCGTCTTGCCGGCCCATCAAACTTAAACCTTCTGAGCTTCTACTTCTGGAGCATTTTGGATTTCAGATTTTTGGATTATGGATCCACGTTCTGTAATGTTTAATGTGAACATTCCAAAATCTGAAGAGCCAGGACATTTCTAGTTCTAAGGACGTTGGTTAAACGGTGCTCAGCCTGGGTTCTCAAGCTAAGAAGTATTCACCTAAAACATGTTGAGGGACATGAAATGATGTTGAGCTTTTGCAAGTGAGCATGGTCATTCTGGGAAACCTGCTAACATGTGAGGCCCAGTGAGGAAGAGGGAGCTGAGCAATTCCTGAACCACAAAAAGGAAAGGAAAGGAAAGGTAAGAAAGAAAAGAAATATAAGCAGACAGACCAGAGACAAGCATGGTTGGGGCCAGCTGCCAACGTCAGACACAGACAAGCTGAGCTTTGAGAAGACATGTTGAAGGCTTTGGGAGCAAACAGTAAGCAAGACTGGGAAGTTGGACTGAAATCTTTGAACCTGAATTCTAAGGTGCCAAGCAGAGGAAAATGAACAGAGCCGCAAAACCTTGCCTTAATATAGTTCATAAATCCCGAGTGGAGAGCATCTGCTCCATCAGCAAACTGGTCTCTTTCTTGTCCTGAGCTGTTGCTGGCACCCAAAAGGGAAGGCTTTGGCTGAAATTCACCTGTCAGGAAAACACAGAGAAAGAAGAAAGCGTGACGTCAAGGACAGAAGAGAAAGCACAAGTCCTTGAACACACGGACAACTGCTTTCATCCCCCCTCACCCCACTTTATCTTCCCTGTAGAATGTAAAATTCAACGTGGGAGAAGAAGAAATACAAAATAAACAAGTCCCCAAACTGAGTATTAGCAGACAAGGCTGCTTCATGGTTTAGCTCCCCACGAAAGAAATGAAATGTCTTCTCATGTTTTAAAAAACTCGAGAAAATTATTTTAAAAAAAAGTTTTTATGCTCTTGGCAGTATGTGGCTAATTATTTCAAAATCTAAGTTTAACAAAATGTATTGACCAGCTGTTCCATGGAAAGTATCATGCCACTTAGATATGTACCAGCATGTACATTTGAGGGGTTAAATGACTTCTGTCCTGAAGCAACCAATCATCTTAAGAAAGTGGGGACAACTAGACATAGCCCCAAATCCTACCAACAGTAGGAATGACCCTCAAGAAAGGCCCTCCAGAAGCAAGAGCATGCTGGGGTAGAAGTCATTTGTCCCAGTAGGCAGAGCACAGACAAACGGACAGCACAGAGGACTGACAAAAGACTAGACAGAAGAAAGCAGGGAATCCTTTCAATGGGAAGCCTGAAAGATGCCCATGTCAGGGGCTTGGGGGACATTACTAGGGACAGATTATTGTATCTGAAAACTTTGTCTCAAACATGACCCCCATGACTGCATATTGTTGTAAGGTTTATATGAAGGAATACAGTGGCAGTTATATTTGTATGCAAGTATTCACTTGTATTTTGGGGTCATGTATGGTTTCCATCATAGTCTCTACGTTTAATGCTATCCCCAGGTTCTAAATTTAAAACTCTACATCTATGGTGCTGGAGAGATGGTTCAGTGGTTAAGAGCACCGGCCGCTCTTCCAGAGGACCCGGGTTCAATTCCCAGCACCCACATACCAGCTTACAACTGTCTGTAACTCTAGTTCTAGGGGACCTGACACCCTCACACAGACATATATGCAGGCAGAACACCAGTGTACATAAAATAAGAATGAATAAATCGTTAAAAAATATTTAAAATAAGTAATAATCTAAATCTAAGAGTCAGATGGGGTGGCACTCATCTACAATCCCAGTACTGGAGAAACTGAGGCAGGAAGAGAGTTCCAGGCCAGCTTAGGTTATGTAGGAAGACCTTGTTTCAAACAAACAAAACGAAATACAAGTGTCTTAGATCTAAGAAGTGAAAGAAAACATGGAAATGTTTGAGTGGCTTTAAAATAGCCCTCTAATGGTTAAGAAGAACACTGTAGGGAGTTGGAGGCATGGCTCAGGAGTTAAGAGTGCTTGTTGCTCTTATGAAGGACCCAGGTTCAGGTTCCGTCCCCAGCACTCACATGGTGTGGCTCACAACCATCTGTAACTCCAGCCCCAAGGGACCCAAAGGCCTCTTCTGACCTCTGCAGATATCAGGCTTGTACACGGTGTGCTTACATACATGTGGGCAAAACATGTACACACATAAAATAAAATTAATACATCTAACCAAAGAAATTTCAAAGAAAGTAATCATCCTGGGATTTGATCTGTCACTGATACAGTTCTACACTTCTTGTACAACATTCTTCACTCTCTATCACAAATCATAAATGGTAAATTTCAGTATTTCCTTTTGAAGTCACTGAACAAACAAGAACCAGCAAAATACTGCCACAATGATCTATGACAGTACGACTCTTACAAGGATTAAGCAGGTACTCTAGCTACAGTGTTCAGTGATCACTTGATTATCAAAGAGTCAAAGAACTGGAGTTACAAAGAAGCTTGGAGGCCACCTAATCTGTCTTTAAGGGGAAAGATGAGACCAACTGACCTGTTTATGTTCAAACAGATTCCTGAGCCCATTCCTCAAGTGCATTTCCTGCCCTCGAGGGTATTAGATGTGACCGTGGAGTGAAGGATGTCTTATAGAGGATGGGCACTTCTAGGCCCAGCCCACAAGCTCCCATCCCCAAGAACAACCACGTTCTGCCCCCCGAGCTGAACACACATGGATGGGGAGACACTGGGGGTCCACACTCAAGGTGAGGAATGGAGCATGGGTCTGCCAATCACACTTGGAGGGCGGTTATCAACCGCTAACTTCTATTTGGACGGCCACTGAGATCGGGAGATTGGACGACAGCAGCTAGAGTTGTCCTAAGTCCTATCTATCCTATCAATATTTTCTTTCCAAAAACGAATTTAAAGACTCTCCTGTAATCTTTAGGATGAGGACTCTTCTACTAACTGTAAAGAGCAGAGCTGGCTTGTGAAACCACAGGCAAGCCATTTAAACTGTCCGAGTCTTGGTTTCCCTACCTGTCGAATAGACGGAAGAGCTGTGTAGAGTTTAGGACTTGAAATGAAATCCCTCCCCATGGGCATGACAGCTGGCGCACCGTATGTGAGCTACAAAGAGTAAGCTGATCCATCTCCGCATCTGTATGTGGTGCTGTAAGCCCTGTCCAAACCTACAAAGCAAGCGCTCTCTACACACATCTCGCTCAGACCTTTAGCTGGGGTCAGACGATGGCATGCATCCTCCTTGATGGTCTGGTCTTCCTCCATGATGTTTGACATGGGAACATTGAGGCTAACTGTGTCCTCATCAGAGGGCTAAAAAGATACAGGGAATCATGTCATTCAAGAGAGAAGTCTTGTGGATGCAGACAAAGAGAACTCTGTAAGAAAGTGGCATCCTAACCTTAACAAACAGCATATTAAGTAAAAGACAGCAGAGATAAAACCCTACCCATGCCAGGTAGTGGTGGTACACGCCTTCAATCCTAGCATTTGGGAGGCAGAGGCAGGTGGATCTCTGTGAGTTCAAGACCAGCCTGGTCTACAGAGTGAGTTCCAGGACAGACTCCAAAGCTACAGAGCAAAACCCTGTCTCAAAAAAATGTATATATATATCCTACCTATACAAATTCAGAAACAGCAACCTGATGGCCATGTCTGCACTTAGGAGAGTGGCTCTTCACAGGTGATGGTAGGCATTTGAGCAAGACTTTCAGGACAGCTCAGGAGGCTGTGCTTTATGAATGGGAGCTGGCTGTGAGTGAAGATTTACAGTGCTAACACTGTACACACACCTCTACACATATACGTTGGCCTGAAGCCTCCTTAGTTTTCTCCCATTCTGAGCTTACAGGCACAGGCACTATTGGACCATGCAATACCCAATATAACAAGGGAATATTTGTAGACAAACAACCATGTTAGCCTATGGTGATATTTTATTTGTATTAAAATGTTATTTGTATGTTAATAAATAAAGTTGCCCGGGGGTCAGAGCTATTAGCAAGCCATAGGTGGTAGCGTACGCTTGTAATCCCAGCACTTGGTAGGCAGAGCTAGGTAAGTCTCTGTGTGTTCAGGGACACAGCCAGCATTGAATACACATGCCTTTAATCTCAATACCAACTGTAGAAGACCTGGAGGTCTGTACAGACAGGCAGTGACGAGGCAGTCATGTGGTTGGGTTTACAACCAATGAGAAGGCAGAACAGAAAGTCTATATAAAGACTTTAACACAGGAAGTAGCTCTGTTTCGGAGAGGTAGGACCACCACAGGAGGAAGGGTAAGGTTTTTGCTCTTAGCTCTGACCTCTTGGCTTTCTTCTTTGCTTCTGTGTTTCTTATTTAATAAGACGGTTGGTTACATCTACATTAGCCCTTAGCCATATTCTTACCAAGAAAGGCACCCTCAGGTCTGACGAAAGGCTAATTTACCAAAACTACACTGTGGTTTCACAGAAGCAGCACCAGGCAAATGACAGTTCTGTCCGGTATTGTATCTAAGGAGTGGTGTTCTGTGCGACTTTCAGAACACATTTCTATGAAGTAACGGGAGTTAATTGTCTCTGATGGCTCCTTCACCACACCACTGATTCAGAAAATCTGTGTATTGAGAAAATCTGTGATTCTGTCACAAGTTAAGATACAGATCCTCATTTATTTTCCCATCTCCATTTTGGTGTTGCTATTTAGTGACAAGTGACAAGCATCCCAAGCCACAGGGAGCAGGGCCTCCCCAGAGCACACTCAGGTGTGTGGCTGGTCCCTCAAGGCTTGCTTGGACACATGAACAGACTGTTTAGAAACGGGCAGAAAACAAGCAGGAATTTCACTCAGCAAACAAATATTCACAGATCCCCACACGTTCTTCCTTAATCATCTTGGGGAGAACATGCATTTACTGTTTTCATGACCAATGTTAAGTCAATCAGATAATGGCAACCGTCAGAGAAAAGGTACAGGGGTGACTACTGACCCCAACAAAGAGGTTTAAGTGGGGCGTGATCTTGGCCAAAACTTTTACAAAAATAACACACCATGCAGTAAAAAAAAGAAGTATTTTAGGTGTGCTTAGACAATGAGTTTAGCATGTGAGATGGGAAAGGCAAAGGGAAAGCCCATTCATTTTATTCTACTGAATTATAATCATTTCTACAGTCCCCTTTCCCTCCATCCACCTCCTACCCTTACAGTTAGCAGAAATCCGAAGATATGTGTTTAATTAAAGGGGGAGAGTAAATCCTGGGGCTCTCTTCAGAATGCTATTAGCATCCTACTTACAAGAGAGAGAAGGATAATGAAGCTCTTTGTGTGATGTTTTATTAATGAACTTAATTACTCTTAGAAGAGAGATAAAGGAGAGCTTGTTTCAATTTAATGGAAAATAAGCCCAGGGTGGGTAGTGTCTGCAACAATGGTCCATTTGAGGGGACTGAGGAGTTTTCATGAAGTCCAAGGGGTTAAACAGACTGTAACATAGAAAAGCAATGTGTTCAGCATTCCCACCCCACCCAGGAACCACAGCCAACTCGCCTTTTTCTTCCTACTAATTCTTCTTCAAAATGTAAAAAAAGAAAAAAATTCTTCATCAGAAAAATGCTGAGGAATTTTAATTTGTGTGCGTGTGTGCATGGGTACATGCTTTCTTATGTGTGTAGCATGTGGAGGCCAGAGGTCAATGCTGGGAATCTCCCTCCCTCCCTCTTCACACTCTTCTTGAGCCAGGGTCCCCTCAGTGAACCCAGATCCCCCGATTTGGCTGGGCTGGCTGCCCTGCAGCTCCAGGGCTCCGCTTGCCTCTCTCTTCCTCACAGTGGGATTGCTGGCCTGTACTTCCGGGCCTGCCTTTTCCAGCAGCTCTGGGGATCGAACTCCAGTCCTCATGCTTGCATGGCAAGCATTTTACAAGACTAACCAACCCATCCCCCTAGCCACCAAATTTTAGGTTGTTTTGTTTTGTTTTTAAATACACTACTTTATAGCACATTTTGTGGAAAATAAACTTTTCTGCTTGCTAAAGCTCAAAATCAGAAGAGAACTAGAAAAAAAAAAATGTCCTGAAATCACATTCAATAAAAATGCGATTTCTTTAGATGAAGTAATGGACATAATCATTGCAACCTCAGGAATACCCTGTGGATCTAACAGACTATACATGAAGCAATAAAGACATGAATGGTGGTTGGTCAGTGTGGCGTACGCCTTTAATCCCAGCACTCAGGAGGCAGAGGCAGGTAGATCTCTGAGTTCAAGGCCAGCCTGGTCTACATAGAGTTCTAGGACAGTCAGGACTAGACAGAGAAACCCTGTCTCAAAAAACAAACAAGCAAAAGACATAGATGTTGTGTTTCATTGCTAGGGGAAGCTCTATCATGCCAGACTGATTTGGCTGAGCTTACAAATAAATTTAATTTTCTGAACAGAACACAGCTGAAGTGCCAGAAATATAAATACTGTTTTAAAAACTGTAGGTAAGGGCCAGTGAGATGGCTCACCAGTAAAGGAGCTTGGTGCCAAGTCTGATGACCTCCCTGAGCTCAATCCCAGGAAGCCACACGGTGGAAGGAAGGAACTGACTCCAGCACATTGCCATCTAACCTCCACACATGTTGGGACACATATGTACCCTCTGAACACACATATTAACTCAAACATTTTAAAACTACAATGGCGCCGGGCGGTGGTGGCGCACGCCTTTAATCCCAGCACTCGGGAGGCAGAGCCAGGCGGATCTCTGTGAGTTCGAGGCCAGCCTGGACTACCAAGTGAGTTCCAGGAAAGGCGCAAAGCTACACAGAGAGACCCTGTCTCGAAAAACCAAAAAAAAAAAAAAAAAAAAAAAAAAAAAAATACAATGGCTAGTTACAAATATTTCAGCAAATAAGCTACTCAAACCCAGTGCACATTTGATTCCTTAATACTTCTGAATATATATCACCACGCTTCCCTAAGTTACTGTTGAAGACAGGTACATTTATTTAAAAAAGTGCTTCATACTTGTACAGGACTTGGCCCTTTCATAATGTTTACTTAGTGTTGAAGAATATTCTACATAATGTGGGAATGGAAAGAGGAAAAGACAGAGACCCAATTTTTGAGTTATTTCCAAAATAAAAAGATATGCAGAGTGACAGCAGTTAATATTTGCGTAAGCCTGAGGGGTTCCAAGCCATGTTCACAAATGTGATTGAACTGTCAATTCAAATCATTCAAATGCGCCAGTGGCTTTCTCCAGAAAAAGACTTCAGTGGACATAGACAGATGGGCCCAGAACAAAGGACAACACTGTGTCACCACATTTACCTCGGTGGCAGACAACCGCTTATCTCCATTGTCACTTCCAACTCCCGAATCAGAATCCTTCTTACTGGGTAGATGTCATCATCATTGAATTTGTTTAGGAAAAAAAATGAAAAATCATAAAGTTGACCCCAAGATATACCAATTAAAATGTAATAACTTCATTATATAAAATTTATCATTATCATTGTAATTATTATTATGTGACAACAAATCAGTCTAGTTCTAAGAACTACTAAGATATGGGCATAATGAAAACTATACACACCTGCTGAGAACATCAGAAATTCTCTGTATTGTGGGCTTCCTCCTCTGAGGAACAAGCTATTTCTTTGAAACAGTTACCAATTTTATTTTATTGGTACATATATAGAAATAGTAAGATTATATAATTGTTTTTCTCTCATAGGTAATAAAACATTATTTTCAATCATTTTGAAAATCTTTCCTGTGATTAACTATACCTGGTAATATAAATATAAAATAATCAAAATATATTTAAAGCATTATTTTGAAAATGCCATTAAGGTGGCATGAAATTTCAAGTCACCCTGTTTAGCAAAAAGCAAATCAAAAGATCCCTGCCCCGGAGAAGTCTCAGGAAGAATCTGTTTCTTTAGTGTCACTGTGGAAACTCTGTTCACTGGATTCTCATGGCCTGTCTTACAGCACAAATGGCCCAAGGATGCTTGAACAGATATTAACAATCTCACATGAAACAAGAAATGGGAAAAATTTTCCACATTGCATCTTAAAAACTGAAGCCCACGGGTCTTAACAATATTAAGACACAACTAACAGTGTGCAGGTATACAGAAAATTGATAACTCCTAAAAATATTTCAGTTTGATACAGTCATTAACAGTAGGTCTAAGACAAGGTCTTGCTATTCATATATACGTACAGTTCAGGCTGACCTAAAATTCATGATCCTCTTTCCTCTGTCTCCTAAATACCGAGATCACAGGTGTATGCTACCATGCCCAGCTTAATAACACCAATTTTTAAACAAATGTAATGTTTTACCATAATAGTTTGATATAGCCATGCCAATTGTAAGCATAAACATCCATTATAAATCTTGTTTATGAGCATCCACACACATGTTCAGGAAGAACTGATTATTGATGAGAAGGTAGATTAGAGTTATTAGAGATTCTCTCTAGCATCCATTTTTTGCATGCCATGATTTTCTCAAGCTCAAAGTCATACATGTGAATCACACAGATGGATTCTGGCTTCCAGTCATCTGGGCAGCTGTGGCTAAGCACACTCTAAGCAGGCTCTCTCAGGGAGGAAGGCATTAACTCACCTGTCTTCTACATGCTGGTGTAAATGAGGCCTCTCCATGGCGTGGAGGTAGAGGGGGTCAGTGGTCTTAATCTGGCATGCTTGTATACTCAGATACTTAAATATGTGCACTTTGCCTTTTGTGCAAATCTGTGGAGAAATCAGTAATGCATATTTACTTCTCAGTGACAAAACAAAATGTAAGTTCCGGGTCTCTGACCATGTAATTTAATCTTCAGAACGTCATGGTGAGTAAGCCCCTAACAATGGATACTAAACACACAAGAATTCTCAGGACTGTTCCCTCCAGATTCTACTTTGAACAGAAAATCATGCTCAAGAAATCCCTAACCTTTTACAACTACTAAATTCTAAGAAAAACATATTTAAATGACAATAGTATAAGATTTATAAAAATCAGACAATATTGGTAATAGTCCAACTCAAAAGGTGAAAAAAAACCACAATTATATTCAAGTTCACAGAGAGCAATTAAAACTTGAAAAGATAATCATAGATTTAATAAGCCATTATGCTGTTTAAAAAGAAAATAAATTATAAAATAATTTCATTTGTATGCAGAAACATACATACTTTGTAGTGTTCTCACAGTTTTACGTTTGATCCCAGTCTCAAAAATATCAACAATCGTTTTTAAGATGTTTAAATTCTGTTTTCCCAGCTAAAGAATATATTACCCTCTTTGTGGCCCATATACTCTATGAAAAAGCTTCAAGTGTATGACTGAGTGGTACATTATCAAACCTATAATTCTGGCCTTGGATTGTTTAAAAAAAAATGGTAACACAGATGTGGGCACAGATGTGATGCAGCCTGAGGCAATCTATTAGTCAGATTTACTTAAAGTTCTGCTGTTGGGGGGTGCTGACTGCATCTCATCACACCTAGTGCAGTCTGGGGTGTGCAGAGGGTCCCAGAGCAGGGGCTCTGTGGCGACTCACTGTGCCGCTCTGCATAGGCCTGGCCACGGCTCTGGGCGAGTCCTCACCTGAGCCGGAGGGGACTGCAGAGGGTTGTTCTCCAGCAGGAGCACTTGTAACTGCTTCATCTCTCTAAAGCAGATGGGGATCACCAGAACTTTGTTGCAGGAAAAGTCAAACTTTACCAAGGGGAGATCTACGAGTTCTGAAATGATAGCGAAAAGGGGGAAATTAATAAAGCAAGAATGAATCTCAGGAAACAGCAGGATCAAGTGGCCCCACACTCGAAAATTAACTTTCCGTGTACCTGGAGAGGAGCTGTTCGGCAAAATCAAAAGTAAGCTGTGCTAATGTTAGGAATACATGGCACGTGGATAAAGTATTTCCCCAGATGGGGGACCTTTTCCTGGATGCTTAGTCATTACAAACCGTGCTGGGAACGCTTGCCATTCACATTATCCGAAGAGCCAGTTTTCTTCCAGCAAAGGGACTGAATGAGCCGTGTCACACAGAACATGTTTGTTCTAACTGTAGCCCATTTTCCTGAAGCACTTGCTGACCATGAATGATATGCCAATTACAGAAAATCCTTATCTATTCACTGTCACTGAGTTGGCATGGGCCCAGAAAGAGTTTCCGCAAATATGTTCCTGATTATCTCAGAGGTTGGTTTTGTTGTTGTTGTTGTTTTGTTTGTTTTCCTAGTGCTAGCTAATTTAGGATTTTCCAAAAGGCCCCATAATTCCGATCCAGCTGGGCTTCATTCTGTGGCCTCTGAAGTCATCCACGGTGCAGCTCATAGGAGAGGACGCTGCATTTAGCCTGAGGTTCCCACCCAGCGGCACAGCAAACACTCGGCAATTTCAAGCATTCAAACCCAAACTGGCAGCTGCTAGGAACGAAGTCAAATTCCCAGAGAGCCAAGCGAGGCTGAGCCATGCCAGAACCTAGGGTGACACTGGCAGATCTCGGAGCTGGCTGGGTGGCGATTACGGTGGGGTCACTTGAGAACAGTGCCCTGCACTTTGGGTAAGGGAGCTGTTTAAAGGCTAAAATATAGTGGCTTCGAATACTTCTGGCCTTCCAAAGTGGAAGATGGCTAGCTAGGGAGAGGACCTGAAGGAGAGGGCACCAGCCTACTCCACCACATGACTGAGGCTTTCAATCAACTCTACAGGACTACTTCAGCTCCCCCAACACCACTCCCTTGGGGTGAGAGCAGCGTCTTCTCAGGACTCAAGGCCCTGGGAATGTTAGGGGCTTTCCTTCTTTCATACCTCACCGCAGTACTCGGTCTTCCAGAACAGACTAATGAGACCGAAACTCTAGAAGGATGAAGAACACCCAGCTCCCAGGTTTCAAAGTGAAGTCTGTGCAGGCTCCGAAGGAAAAAACTGGGGAATTGTATTTCAAAACATATGCCAAGGAATCTGTATGCCCACACTGCCCCGAGCAGCTCAAATGCCCAGTGGGGGCAGCCCCGAGTCTCGGGCCATACATACATACTCCCAAAGGTTGTTCTGATGTGGCTGGGAGGAGACACAGGGGCAGCTAGGCTGTGGAGCTGGAAGCAGGAGAGAGAAAGGAAAGGGAAACTAGGACCCTACCACAGCAGGACCCTGCCATAGTAACACCAGCCACAGTAAGGACCCTACCATAGCAGGACCCTGCCATAGTAACACCAGCCACAGTAGGACCCTGCCATAGTAGGACCGGCCATAGTGTCTCTATTGCTGTGAGAAACACCATGGCCAAAAACAACCTGGGGAGGAAAGGGCTTATTTCAGCTTACACCTTCAGTCCATCACGAAGGGACGTCAGGGCAGGAACCTGGAGGCAGGAGCTGATGCAGAGGCCATGGAGGAACGCTGCTTACAGGCTTGCCCCTCAAGGCTTGTTCAGCCTGCTTTCTCCTAGAACCCAGGACCACCTGCCAAGGGGTGGTAACCCCCACAGTGGGCTGGACACCCCCGCCCCCCCGAGAAAATGCCCTACAGACTTGCTGACAAGCTAATCAGATGAAGGCATTTTCTCAATTGAGGCTCTCTTCCCCGATGACCTGACCGTGTGTCAACGTGACCAAAAACAAACAGACGAACTTGTATGTTACAGTGTGTAGGTCAGCTAAGGATTGGGATTTCCAGGGCAGGGTGACTTCAGAGTTAAGCGGTCTCACCAGGGCCAGAATTTAATGGCACTCTGCGTTCTGTGGGCCATGGCTTTTATGACTCCTTTGCTAGAAGAAATGGGGCTTTTCAGACAATAGCTATTATGCAGCAAGTGTTCCCAACTATTCTTTACCAGTTAAAACGAAGACTAGGAAGCACGAGGAGGGGACCGTTCAGGGGAGTGGAGAACTCTCAGGTGAAGAGGTAAGGATGCTTTTCCGACGGCCACTGCCTTGTCCACGGGTTCCAGTGCGCAGTGGGGTCGGGAATGAGAACTCCGCGGTCTCGCGGCGGTAACGCATAGGAGGTTATGACCGCCTTGCAAGGCTGATCCAGGAAGGGTCAAGAGGCAGAACAGGTAAAGGAAGGAGGAGAGCCAAGAAGCGGGAAAGGAGGAAGTGGAGAAGCAGCAAAACAGGAAAGAGGGAGGCAAACAGGAAGAGGAAGAAAAGGAAGAGAGGAAAGGAAAAGAGGGAAAAACGGAGGAAAAGAAGAAGAGGAAGAACAGAGCAGGAGAAAGGCAGCGGGGAGGAGGAAAAGGGAGGGGAAGAGACGAGAGGAAGGAGCGGGAGGTGGGAGAGGAGGAAGAACTCGACACCTCTCTCTCCATTCCAAGAGAGGCAATGACTGACTGCGTCAGTCCCCCGCCATCCTGTCCTAAAAGAAGGAAGCATGGCCTCCCCACTACATCAGCTGTAAAACTACACAAAACTGACTGGGGTGACTGGGCTGCAAACGTCTATTTTTTTTTTTCCCCTCCTCAAATTTAAAAACATATGAGGAGAGATTTCCCCAAGAGAGAAAATGTAACTAAACATGGGAGGTCACTGATAGGCTGTCCAGTGGCATCAACACTCTTGTCCACCGGGCTCTCTAGACTAAGAAAGAAACTTGATATTCAGATTTTTTTTTTCCTTTTAAAAAGGACGCTCCAGTAAACTCACATTTTAGCTTTGGGTGTATTTTAAAATATCAAAGCTGAGAAAACATAATTATGGAAAGGCAGAGCATGGTGTAACTTATTTTTTTTTTTTTTTTTTTTTTTTAGGGAAAAGAATGTTCTTAAGGTAGGAGAGAACACGGTAGAGAAACACAAACCGGGCTCGGCAGGTGTGCTCTCTTCCCAGGTGCCACACTGCCGCCACACAATGATGTCACTGGTTTTTCCCTTCTGGAAATGGGTTCAATTATTTATGACATTTCCACAATGATTATCACAGGCACTTAAATGCAGAGGGGCTTCTTAATAGCAAGCCTGAAAGGCTACACTGTGCAGATGTGCTGTCAATTAAAATTTTGTTTGTAGTTATAATTACTATTATTTGCAGTTATTATTATTAGGGAAAATGGGGCTTTTTTGGTTTTGTTTGTTGGTTTTGTTGTTGTTTTTGGTTTTTCAAGGCAGGGTTTCCATGTGTAGCTTTGGAGCCTATCTTGGAACTCTCTGTCAACCAGGCTGGCCTCAAACTTACAGAGATCCGCCGGTCTCGGCCTCCCAAGTGCTGGGATAAAAGGTGTGTGCCGCCGCCGCTGCCACCACCACCACCCCCACCACCCCCCGCAGGAAAACAGTTTTCTGTACTCAAGGAAATGAGACTGCACAAGAGCCAGTGGAAAAAGTCAATCTCTTTATACGAGATTTATATCTCAGATAAGGCAATGAGTCCTACACGGAGGGAGTTTCTAATCCTTCTTGGAATGCAAGCCAACATGAGCAAAGGGGAAACACCGGAGTCCTCTACCATCAAGCACAGTGCATTTTACAAAGATTCACCACACTGTTTCAGAAGCTGTTTCCATGTCTCGAACAAGAAAGTAGTAACAGGATGGCAAAACTCAGGCAGTTCTCACACTAATAAATGCCCCATGAACTGGATGCCAGCTGCTTCCAAGTGTGCACTTTCGCACTGAGATGCCTTTCAGAAAAGTCACGGAAACTTGCTACTGCAGAAGCTTCCTAAATGCATCGATGCACTTACATAAGAAGAGTTAAAAAGGGGTTACCTTATAACCTGTAATGGGGCAGCATACTTAAGTTAGGAAACAGTGAAATCAAGCCGGTACTGACCTGGAAGCATCATCCCTACTAGCTAGCATTCATAGGGCTTGAAAGTGCTGTGCATGCTACCTGAGGAAAAAAGTCATCTTCAACCTTACCCAGCTCTGAACCCCAGGAGTTACAATAATGACTGGTCTGGCAAGCCATGCCCACTGGTGCAATAGTGGCTCAGACATCATACAAATAACCAACCACTTTCTGATTGGATTTAAGTCCACCCTACAAGATGAAACCCAAATCTAGCACCATTAAAGATGGGGCCAACAACCTATGGTTAGACAGGTAATAGGTCCTGGGATGGAATCTACTATTATTATTCTGTTAAAAATTGCCATTGACTCCTACTAACTTATTGTTATACCCATAGTTCAGTGCATCTCTAAACCCTCATCTGAGAAAAAAATAGAAGACTTTCAAATGGCCAAATGAAGAGAATAAGAGATTCAGCCCCAAATGGGACATAAATATTCCACCCTCTTCTCCTCCCAAGGCTTGGGCTTCATTGGGAAGGAGAGGGTGAGAAGAGTGTAACACCCAGAGGCAGTAGATAACTACAAGGGAACAATGACCTCTGGATACAGCAGGGCAGCTTAACATATGAATCTGCAGCAGCTGCAACAGCATACACAAAACCTATGCAAGACCAAACCCAGCAAGGAGACGGAAAGTGGGCAGAAAATCCCACCCCAGCCTTGGAGTTATTGCGAATGTTAGCTGCTGGGAGAGAGAGAGACAATTTTATCTAAAAAGTGGAGCCCCTGGTAAACTGACCATGCTCCCATGGAAGGCTACATATCCAAGAATACTTGGGTAGTACAAATTGGTCTTGAGTTAAAAAAAAAATAGGACACAAAGTTGGCTGGTAGGCTGGTAGGAAGTTAGGGTTTGGTAAGAATTGGGGAAGGGGGAGTAATAGAATCAAAACATATTGTATGAAACTCTCAAAGAACTATTAAGATTTGTAAAGTAGCCAGGCGGTGGTGGCGCACGCCTTTAATCCTAGCACTCGGGAGGCAGAGCCAGGCAAATCTCTGTGAGTTCAAGGCCAGCCTGGGCTACCAAGTGAGTTCCAGGAAAGGCGCAAAGCTACACAGGGAAACCCCGTCTCGAAAAACAAAAAAACAACAACAACAAAAAAAAAGATTTGTAAAGTATATTTTGGACACCAGAGGGCCCTTAAACAAAATCTATGGAAATCAACGTGGTCTTTGGAAAGCTGAGTATGTTTTGAAGAAGTACTTGGCATTCTGCTTCTCATCTACTGGCTCCTGACCAGTGTGTGTGGCATGTGTGTTGTGGTGGTTAGCTTGAATTGTCTTACCGAAGTTGGTTAACAGGGAAGATCCAGCCCAGTGTGGGCAGCACCATTCACTACAGAGGGGTATGTACTATGAGCTATGTACTAATGGAGAAATGAACTCAGCATAAACAAGCATACAGGCATAATGCATTCTCTCTCTGGACTGACTCTGCATGTGACCAGCTCCTTCACGTTCCTCCCGCCTGATTTCCTCATGTGACAGACTGTAACCTGGAACTATGAACTGAAATAATCGCTTTTCCTTGGGTTGCTTTTTATCAGGGTATCTTATCACAGAAACAGAAATGAAATTAAAGTGTGTGTGTGCCACGTGTGCACGCACACTTTCCATGTACATGTGTGAACCGGTGAGAGGCGGAGTTTGTCATCAGATGTCCATGGCTCTCGCTTTTGTTTGTTCTGACTTGTTTTCATATCTGAGGCCGGATCCCTGCTCTAATCTCTCTCCCCTTGCTGTGATAACACACTCTGGTGTAAAGCAATTTAGGGGAGGAGAAGACTTATTCTATCTTCCAGGTCACACAGTCCATTGTTAGAGAGGTCAGGGTACAAACTGAAGCAGAAACCTGAAACAGAAACCATGGAGGAACGCTGCTTGCCGTGTTACTCTTTGCTGCCCTTCTTACACAGGCCAGGACCACCTGCCTGGGGATGGTGCCACCCACAGGGAGATGGACCCTCCTACAGCAATCAGCCATCAAGACAATCCCTCATATAAGTGCCCACAAACCAACCTGATGAAGATGACTCTGAGACTCTACTCGGGTGATTCTGGGTCATGTCATGTCGACAGTTAATGCTAACGAGGCCAGTCTCTCACTGAACCGGTAGCCCACTGATTTGGCCAGAATGCCTGCCAATGAGCTCCAGGGATCCATTTATCTCCACACCTCTTCAGTGCTAGGGCTGCAGGTGCACTCTGCCAAGCTCGTACCTGGCTTTTCTGTGAGTGCTGGTGAGCTAAACTTATATTTTTATGTTTTTGGACCAGCACTTTGCACACTAAGCTATTCCCACAATACCCCTGAAGCACTAACAACTTCTAAGTAAATATGTCTTTATGCTTAAACCCTCATGCCCTGGACCTGTGAGACATACTACTGCAAGAGCCCATGCAGGGCTGTCTAGGGGACAGATACTATGACAAGTGTCCATGCCGAAGCTTTGGGGCCATCACCGGTACTGATAAGACTGACCCCAGTTCAGGGGTGACTCAGCAGTAGCGTCACCCTCACCTAGAGGCGGAGTGCAGACATTGTGGGTTCTCAACCAGTGTTCCCAGACCCCAAAGCTAGAGACCCTGATAGCCAGGACCTACTGCCAAGCTTGTCCCCTCCAGACTCTTTGATGTTCATGTTCTGGAACATCACACACCTGCCCCCAAAGAATGCATTCCACCATGTTATGGATTAGCCAAGCCCCTCACCCCAAAATTCAGATATAGAAATCCTAACCCCAATCATTGAATGGTATTTGGAGATGAGGTCTTTAAAGGGGTAATTAAGTGACACTGAGGTCATTACGGTAGACCTTCATCCTCTGGTGTAACAGCTGAAAGAGATCAGGACACGGACATAAATAGTGAAATGCTCTGAGGACACAGGAAGAAGACCATCTGTGAGTCATGGGAAAAGGCCTTGGAAGGAATAACCTGGTCAGTACCTTCATCTCATGCTTCCAGCCTCCAGAATGGTGAAGAGACATATTTCTGTCGTTTAAGCCACCGTCTCCGAGGTCCTTTTCATAGCAGCCCTTGTTTTTGCTCTTTTACTCTTTTGGGGGACTCGCCACCCAGCTCCCAAATAAATTTCACATGGACTTATTATTGCTTATGAATGCTCGGCCTTAGCTTGGCTTGTTTCTAGCCAGCTTTTCTTAAATTATCCCATCTACCTTTTGCCTCTGGGCTTTTTCCTTTTCTTACTTACTTTTCCTTTACTTAATCTTACTTTTACTCTTACCCCATGGCTGGCTGTGTAACTGGCTCCTGACACCCTCTCCTTCTCTGGCTTCCTCTCCTCCCAGATTTCTCTTTCTATTCTCTGTGCCTCCCAGCCTGCCTATCCTTTCTCCTGCCTCACTATTGACTGTTCAGCTCCTTACTAGACCATCAGGTGTTTTAGACAGTAAAACAAAGTAACACAGCTTCATTGAGTTAAACAAATGCACCATGAACAAAAGTGACACACTTTAAAATACTATTCTACCACAAGCCCTAGAAAGCTAACATACCTCGCACTAATGGTTGTGTTGCTATAGCACTGATTCACACTACAACTTGAACATCATTGTTCTGATATCTGCCAGTGAGATTCAAATTATTAATAGCAACCAGTGTGCTGTTAACACCAGACCCACCACCCCTCACAGAAGTGAATGGAAAGAGTGACAGCTCCCGCATTCTCTTCATCTTGCCCTCCTCTCTTACCTGGTGGTAAAACCTTAAGGTAGTTTCTTCGGACGTTCAGCTCTCGTAGAGACTTCAGCTGGCCTATCTGCTGGGGCAAGGTGGTGATCTCGTTGCAGCTGACATCCTGCAGCAAGAAGGGGGTTGGGAGTTGGGGATCAAATAGGGATAATAAAACGCCTTTTTCTTCAAGCATTTCATTGAATTCGCCTCAAAGAACTTAAATGCTTGCATAACTCCACATTATACTTTTATACTGCTCTCCAGGTCCCCAGTCAGTGGATCTCAACAATGAAGAAAAGGAGTTTGGTTTCCAATGTCCTTTGAGGGAAGAAAAGACATCAGTGACATTCACTAGCTGTTTTTGTCACTTTTTTAAAGGTGCTTAGACCTTATTCAATACCCACCACAAACTTACAAGGCAATATTACTACCTAATATTCACAACTCGAAAAAATGAGGCTTTGTGACCCCAGAGAGGCAGGTGACAGTTGACATTAGGAAAGAATTACCAGCCACTGTTACAGAAGGAAAGTTACACGAATTCCCATCACACCAAGCTCTTACACAGAGAACTATTAGCACACCAGCTGGTCATGTAATTTATACACGATATATAAGTCCAAATGGACTTCCTATAACATGGTAGAAAGCTGTGGCCGACCACTGCACCACACATTTGGTAAGCAGGTCTGTGGGGTACAAGGATTTTGTCATCTCTGTTTGGGAAGGGTAGTATCCCACTAATCCTTGATTAGAAGCAGCTGGTGCCATGTAAAATAAAGACGTGGTTCTTCTTACCCTATAGAAACTCATTACCCCCACCCCCCCCACACACACATACACACACACATCTTCCCTGCAGTTCCAGCTGCCGGGCTTTGCTTCCTTCTCCTACAATTCTAGAACTTCCTTCAGTCTGACTATGTTATCTCTCAAAAGGACTCTTGCCCATGACATCCTCTGGCTGGCTTCTGTTTCTCCCCCAGCCCTCACATTTACCCCCTCAGAGCTAGCCCAGTGCAAGTTCCATTCTGTTGTTCATCCACTTAAGCTTTAGCAAAGCCCAGCCCTTGTGGGGCAGTCTGTCAGTTTCTCCAGGGCCATGCTTTGAATGTTCTCTCTTGCATCCGACACTCAAGCCATGCAGTTACCACTGAGAGTTTTGGTGTAGACCATACTGTTTCACAGTCCCAAAACTCATTCAGGCTTCCCACCCTGCTTGATACACAAGCTCTGGCATGTCTTCTTGGTCTCCTACTCATCTGTTATGGCTCAACTCAAGCCTCAACTCCTCTCTTTGAGACCATTCCCATGATCCTCTCCTGCTCTGAACAACACCCAGGAATGGATATTTTCCCCTTTCCCTTTGCAGTCCTATACAGGAAGTATGCATCTAATTCACTTGCTCCCTTAGCCTCCTTCTCCTGCAAACATGGGAGTTTCTAGGTGAGAGGACCCATGGCATATTCTCTCCATCTTTCTAGCAGAATGCCAGGTGTAAGGCAGGGATGAAATTTCCAATACCCTCTGATGTAGATGCCCCATAATACTGTGGCTCCTTCTACCTTGCAGCTGGTACCCCAGAATGTTTTAACCTATCACTCAAATTTCATTCAGGTCCCATTGGCTATTATAGAACCAAAGACAAATTCAGGCTATGAATTCTCCTGGTGAGGTTTAGTCATTCAACAGCCCACATTATTTATGAACCTGCAAAACATCCTTTCACTTGAGAGCTCACCAAGGCCTTGTTACAAAAAGTCCATTTCACTTTCTTTCAGACTAGATGAATGCAACAGTAACCAGTCAATGTTTTGCTCACTACTTTAACCCCACAACCAGGAGCCCTGTTGGAGCAGGGCTATGTCAGTCGGCGATCCCTATCTTCTAGCTTTGCCGTCTCAAAACCCTCAGGTGATCCTCATCAGTCACAAGTCTGCCCAATGGACACGACTTCACAGAGGCACAATTACCACCTCTGGTGCAAGAGTACGAGGCTGCAGTCTACAAAAATGGTATGCATGGAAGAGGTGACATACTGCAATCTCCTGCCATCAACTTGGTGGGGAAGCAGGGTGAGAAGGGTTAGGGTCACAGCATTTCCAGGATACCACCTTAGCGGCTGCCTTTCTCCTGATCTAGAAAAGTCACACACACCTCCAGTGTTTAGGACAAAACGACAACAGACCTCCATCAGTACATCCGCAGAAACAAAACTGTACAAGAAAGTAAAATCAGAATTAGGTGGTGGCCTAAACCTGATCAGCCATGAGGTCCAAAAGCAAATCCTTCCTGTGAGAACTGGATCTGTGCATGCCTTAACTAAGTTATAAATCAGCAATGGGCCCATTCCATTCTGGTTTACAACAGCCCTCCCAAGCAGATCACTCCACTGTACTCCAGACTCTAGAGGAGGCCTGGCCCGGGAGTGATGATGTCAGAAGTGGAGGAAGGGTTGTAGGGAAGAAGCTGTGGGAATCATTTCCTATCTGTGGAGAGGATTCGTGTTACTAAACTATCAATTAAGTTTCTGCAAGTCATGTAAGTGAGCACATGGGAAAGCTTTGCACTGCTTACAAAGATACGTCTCAGCGGGAAATCAACAATTTCCACAAGTTTCTTAAAAGAATGAGTGGGAAAAGGGAAGCCAAAGGATAACCTATACGTTTAGGGCAATACACTCACAGAATGCCCTGTCCTGAGATCAAACTCAGCCATTCTTAGGGAGAACTACAGATACCTTGCCCTGTGTCAACTGCTCCCAGTTAATGGTAGCATCGAAGAATGCTGGACCCCTAAAGCCAGGTGACTCCTCCCGGCACAAACCCCCAACACCATGGCCTTCACGAACAAAACCAACTCCTGCAGGCTGTATTTACACACGTGCTGGCAGACACAGCACCTACTTACTACACATACTACACTACTGCATCCCAAAGGCGCCCAACTGTCCCACCCAAGAGACGGGACACCCTGGACAAGTGCGAGCACAGGCCGCTCAGATTTTGAAAAGTGTATGTCAACTATGTTAATAATACTCTACGTTCCTACTAGTTACGCCTCCCAATAAAATGGTAAGCAGAAAAATGCCAAGCAAACTTATTACATAAGGGAGGGACAGGCTGTATGCCACTGTACATTCAATATGGTTTAAAAAAAAAAAAGGCAAGTCCTACTCCCCAGGAGCCACTGAAGCTAACCAAATTTTTAAAGAGGTTATGAATTTCATCATTAAAATAAACCCCATGGGTAATTATGTCTAATTAGCTGGAGGAGGAGAAGGAAAAAGAGATAATAGTCTACATGTCTGGGGATGTTTTGGTCTTGAAAATACACAAGCAATATTTCTCGAATAGCCTCATTTTCTGGAACATTTCTGTGCAAATTTAGCCTAAGTAAGGCCTAGAGCTTTTTAAAGATTACTTTTGAAAAGACAATACTCAGAAAAATAAATTAAAAAATAAATAGCAATGCCTTACTGCAATTAGTGAAAATTACCAGACTATTAATTCCGCATTCATTTACTTACTAGAATATTCAAATTAATTCCTTCTGAATTTTCTATTAGCCCCAAGCTGCTACGTCTCAGAGAATAACTAACCCGAGCGCCAGTGAAATTGCTGTGCGTTACATGTTATAACATCACAACTGTACAACACAAGAATCATGCGTAACTGTTACAAATATTTACTGATTTAATTCTGCCCAATAGAGAAGCGAAACTAATCATAACAATATTAATACTCAAATCTAAGCTTTTCATAGACCAGGTGACCCAAATCTGATTTAGAGTCTACCAATGATTTAAACCACACTCAATGATAGAGTGGTATAATACCAGCAAAAGAATGTCTGAGAAAATTAGGTCTCTTTGTAGTTGGTGGAAAAGCAAATGATCGGCAGTCTCCAACCACCACAGAACCACCACAGACCCATGCCCTTCTACAGAGATGCCTTTTGTACGTTATGGTGGTATTTTACTTGTACTGAAATGTGATTTTAATTGTATGTTAATAAAGTTGCCCGGGGGTCAGAGCTATTAGAGCCATAGCAAGAGCCCGGCAGTGGTGGCACACGCCTTTAATCCCAGCACTTGGTAGACAGAGCTAGGTAGATCTCTGTGTGTAAAAGGATACAGTCAGCATTGGAGACACACGCCTTTAATCTCAATCCCAACCACAGAAGACCTGGAAGTCTTTACAGACAGGCAGTGACGAGGCATGGGTTTACAACCAATGAGAAGACAAAACCGAAAGTCTTTATAAAGACAAACACACAGGAAGTAGCTCCCTGTTTCGGAGAGCTCTCTTGGCTGAAGCAGGAAGGGTAAGGCTCTTAGTTCTGACCTCTTGGCTTTCTTCTCTGAATCGGCTCTGTGTTTCTTATTTAATAAGACGGTTGGTTACATCTACAGTACATCTCACTCTGCAACTTTAGGCAAGTGTCTTACTCTCTGCATGCTCATATAAAAAGGGGAGGTGAGCGCCAAAAGAGTCAGTTTGTAAAAGGCACCTGCTACCAAGCCTGAGGACTTGAGTTCACTCCCGGACACCTGGAAGCCAATGGTGGAAGGAGGGCGCTCACTCTGCCAAGTTTCCTAACTTGCACACACCGAACAAACCAACAAATAAATGAGTATTAAATAATTCTAATTTTCTCTCAACACTGGGAAACCCCGTGGACTACACAAGAAATAATGAAAACACTAAGTGGTACTCAATAATGTCAACTTTCATTTCTTGGTAATAAAACAACCTTCAATGCCTATGGTCAGAACTTGAAAAAAGAAAAAAAATACTGTATATTGATTTAAACTTGAACCCTTTCAAGCAACCTTTGAGGTGATGGACAATCTCCTAACACCCTTGCCTCTCCAATGTGAAACTGTACCTCATAGCTTTCCACATACCACAAACACATGCTTCACACCCTGTTCTTGATAATAAACAGAAATCGAAGCCACAGAGGGACCCTGAGCAACTCCTGGGTTTCCACAGAAACCAAAGAGGTCAAAGACATTTCCAGAGACCACTAATGGACAAATGATTACAGCGGGCACATTGCCACACCATCCCACACCCACCTCAGAGGCAGGAACATTAGGCATAAAATGATGGGGGAGGA